TCTTTCCCAACATCAGGGTCTTTTCCAGGGAGTCTTCTCTTCTCATGAGGAGGCCAAAGTGTTGGATGGAGCCTCAGCTTCAGGATCTGTCCTTCCAGTGAGCACTCAGGGCTGATTTCCCTAAGAATGGATAGGTTTGATCTTCTTGCAGTCCATGGGACTCTCAAGAGTCTCCTCCAGCACCATAATTCAAAAGCATCAATTCTTCGGCGATCAGCCTTCTTTATGGTCCAGATCTTACTTCCATACATCACTACTGGGGAAACCATAGCTTTAACTATACGGACCTTTGTTGTTTTTAAGATGCTGTCTAGGTTTGTCAATGCTTTTCTCCCAAGAAGCAGGCGTCTTTTAATTTCGTGGCTGCTGTCACCATCTGCAGTAATCATGGAGCGCAAGACCTGTCCATCATGGGTGTCCTGCATGGCATAGTTCATAGCTTCTCTGAGTTATTCAAGCCCCTTCGCCACGGCAAGGCAGTGGTCCATGAAGGGATTGTTTCAAGTTACTTAGTATTATATAAAGCAGCCAGCTAGGTTGCATTCAGTCTGATTCCAGGAGCAGTTCTAACTGCTGCAATAAAGAGCTGTGAATCCAACAGAGCTGTGTCCTTCATCCATCTTTTCCACTATTCAACAGTTTCAAACAGAGATGAAGTAGATTTCTGCCACAGTAGTCTTTAAGACGCGGGTGGCGCTGTGGTATAACCACTGAGCCTCTTGGGCTTGCTGATCAGAAGGTTGGCGGTTCGAATCCACATGACTGGGTGAGTTCCCGTTGCTCTGTCCCAGCTCCTGCTAACCTAGCAGTTCAAAAGCACGCCCGTGCAAGTAGATAAACAGGTACTGCTGTGGTAGGAAGGTAAACAGCGTTTCCATGTGCTCTGGCTTCTGTCAACATGTTCCGTTGCGCCAGAAGCAGTTTAGTCATGCTGGCCACATGACTTGGAAAGCTGCCTGTGGACAAACACCGGCTCCCTCAGCCTGAAAGCGAGATGAGCGCCGCAACCCCATAGTCACATTTGACTAAACTTAACCATCCAGGGCTCCCTTAAGTTTGCCTTTACCTACTGTAGTCTTTAAGATGCCAGCGGTTTCATTTTTCTTTTTTGCTGCAAGAGAATGAACTTTGCTCCTTCTTTGAAATTTTATGGAATTCTGACACACATGACAAGCTTTATTTGGATATTCTCCTTTTTCAAGCCTTGCACTATTTGGGAATTGATTGATCAAGTCCATGGCCACAAGATGCAAATATGGCTTTATATGTAAATCAGACACATCAATTTGCTGTGGCCCCCAGCTGCAATACCCATGGCCAGAGGCACTGAACATTAGGCTGCTGTAGGGTGGCCACTGCAAGGACATGTTACTGTCATAGCTGTCAACGTTCAGATTTGAAAATAAGGGACCAGCAGCCAAAATAAGGGATTTTCCGAACACAGGTATGTTCAACTTCTGAGCCCCTCCGAGCCAAAGGCAGAAAACCCAGCTAGCAGCCAAACGAAGGCTCAAGCGGTGGTTCCCACAGCGCAGCAACCCGGCAAAGGGGATGCAGCAAGGGAAACCACCATCACCTCTCCGCTGGAAAGCGCTGAGCAAAGGCGGGTCCCCAGGCAACGCGGCCGATTTGATTGGAACAAGGCATGCAAACTCCACTCCCCAGTCGTTCAGCGCTGGGATAAGGGACTTTCCCACCAAATAAGGGACAGTTGACAGCTATGATCAGCAGCCTTGAAAATAAGGGATCAGCAGCCTCATCTGTCCCGGGGACAGTCTACGGGATATCTAACAATCCGGGATAGCAGCGGGAAGCAGCGGGAAACGGCGCTGGAATAAGGGAATTTCCCACCAAAAAAGGGAAGGTTGACAGCTATGGTTACTGCCTTCCCACCCTGCTTCTGAGCAAACCTGATGCTCTCTACATCACTCCTAAGCATCAGCTACAGTGCCTGTAGCTTCTGGAAGTTGTAGTTCAAAACATCTGGATGGCATTGAGTTGGGGAAAGGCTTTCCAAAAGCAACTGCTTGGCAACTGTTGAAAGCAGGACACTAAACCAGACCGTATATTGGCTTGCTCCGCTGGGACTCTTCCTAAGAAGTATTAAATCAGTTTTTCTGTCTGGGATTTAGATAAGTCTCAAGGCTCCCCTGTAGCTAATTGTGAATCCTATGACTTTTGTTATAATTGTGATGTTTAGCTTATTTATTTAGTTGTTTTGTAAATAGTGTTTTATAGATTGTAATTGTTTTACTGATGATTTGTAATTGTTTCACTTATGATTTATCAATTATTTATATGATTTATGTTGCATTTGTGATGTCCTATTATGTAGTTTTTTTGTTTGTAAGCTGCTTTTTGATGTATGTGAATGAAAAGTGGCATAGAAATATAATCAATCAAATCAGTTTAAAAATGATAGCTTGTCCCGGGTGAAATAGAGAGTAAATAAATGAGAGGAGGTGTAGTGGTTAAAGTAGGGAACCAAGACCCAGGTTCAAATCCCCACTCAGCCATGAAACTCATATTAGGGAAGTCACTATCATTCAAACTTACACGGTTCTGAGGATAAAATGGAGTGAAGGGAAGAACCCTGTATATATATTTTTTATCTCCTTGAAATGCAGAATATAAACTTGTTTAATGAAAATGAAGCACACATTCATGCTGAATTTGTATTCTGAATGAGGAAGGTTAATAATCATGTCATTCTTCTACTCAGAGAGGCAGAATGCTGGGAAAATTCATAAAAGGTTCTACTGCCGTCTGGCACTGATTCACTCTGATACCTCTAGGTGCGTAAATTGACTGATCTTAAATGCTTTAGGGTTGAACTCTTACAACGCGTTGGAAAAAATATTGAGACTAATGTATGCCCAGATAAATAAAATGGAGGGGGAAAGAAACATCAACGGATAAAGAAGCAACACTTGGAATTTAAACAGTTCAGTTTATTATCTGTAGCCTGCCTTTTGTTGTTATAATAATTAAAGTGGATTACCAAAGGTTTTTGTTTGTTTTTTAAAGGAAGAAAGTTGCACACATTAAAACAATATAATGGCAATATTTGTGTGTGTATATAAAATTTAAAAGCAGCTTTTTCCAACCGCCTAAAAGAGGAAGATACAGAAAGCAGAACCTGCCACACCACTGCAGTCTTTGCGGGTGCTACTTGTCTATCACAGCATCGGTTACCTATCGCAACCCTACGCACACTTACCTGGGAGTCTTCTACTCTTCTTTGGTGATCACTCATAGCTGAGTAAGATTGTCTTCCATGATCATGGTCTTAACGGTGTGTCCGCAGACGACTGTGGAGGCCAATTCTGGATCCACTTGTCCTTCCACAGTGGGGACATAGGTTTCCGGGTGGGAGTTGATCATGATGAGGGTTTGTCAAAAGTGCCTTCCTCTTAGCACTTTTCTCCCTTTCCTCCTGAGTTTGAGGGTCTTCAAAGCCCATGACACCTTTGGTCAGGGGTTATCAACCTGGTCCCTACCGCCCACTAGTAGGCATTTCAGGATTCAAGGCGGCCGGTAGGGGGTTCTATGGCACAAGTGGAACCCTCCTTCCATCGAGCACTGGTGGGCGGTAAGGAAATTTTACCATCAAGAAAGATGCATTAGTGGGTGGTAGGTATAAAAAGGTTTACTACCCCTGCCTTTGGTAATGGCTGTTCCCCAGCTGGAGCACATGCAGGCCAATGTTTTCTAATTGTTGGTTTTTATCCTACCTTTTTTTTAGATTTGCCTTGAGAGAGTCTTTAAACCTCTTTTGTTGACCACCAGCATTACACTTTCCATTTTTAAGTTCGGAATAGAGTAGGTGCTTTGGAAGACGATAATCAGGAAACCGAACATGACCAGTTCAACGATGTTGAAGAATCATTGCTTCAACACTGGCAATCTCTGCTTCTTCCAGTACACTGGCCTTAGTTCGCCTGTCTTCCCAAGTGATGTGTAAAAATTTTCAGAAAAACCACTGATGGAATCTTTCGAGGAATTGGAGATGGCATTTATAAGTGGTCCGTGTTTCACAAGCATGCAGTAAAGTTGGTACAGTTGCACCTCCGATTATGAACGTTTCTGGTTATGAACGCTTTGGGTTACGAACTCCGCTAACCTGGAAGTAGCTGCTCCTGGTTGCAAACTTTGCCCCAGGATGCGAATGGGAATCGCGCGCCTCTGCAGCGGGAGACCCCACTAGCGAAAGCATGCCTCAGGATAAGAATGGTTATAGCTTAAGAACAGACCTCCAGAACGAATTAAGTTTGTACCCAAAGGTACCATTGCAATACAATAGCTTTGTAAACAAGCATTTTGGTTTGCCTGCGAATGTCCCAGTCCTCAAACACTCTGCACTTCAATCAGGAGAAAGCTGTGCTTGCAGAGCTCAGACAATGCTGGATTTCAGCATTGTGGAAAGATAACTGCCAAGGTAGGCAAAGTAATTGGCACTTGCCAACATTACACCATTAAGTTGGATTTGTGGCACTGCAGAGGGGTTGTTTTGTGTTTGTTGGCGCAGCACTTTGGGTTTTTTGGATGTTGGGCGATAGGCCAAGCTTTTTGTAAGCTTCTGCAAAGGCATTTAGGATGATTTGGAGGTCATCCTCTGTGTGGGAACACACTAAGTTGTCATCTGCATACTGAAGCTCTTTGACAGAAGTTACCTTACTCTTTGCTTTCAGCCTGCTCAGATTAAAGAGCTTTCCATCTGCTCGAAAGATGATTCATATCCCGGTGGGGACATATCTGGGAGTAAGAGCCCACTGAACACAACAGGTTGCACTCGTATGCAGACGTGCACGGAGCTACGCTATGGGGGGGGGCAAGAGTTCTCAGCATCTGGGACCATGTAGCCCATAGAGAACCGAAAGACCTCCCCATGTGCCGCTCTAAACTTTTCCCCCCACCTCTACTAAAACCGCGATCTATGCAACAAGCGCTTCTGACTCTTCTCAGCTGCTATTGACGGACCGCGACGCGTTTTGTTTTTTCTTGGGGCCACGTGATCAACGGAACGCCGCCGCGCGGAAGAAGCCGGCACCCAGAGTATCGCGAGACTCCGCCCCCTCTCTCTCTCTCTCTCTCTCTCTCTCTCTCTCTCCGCGTGCGCGCGTCGTTTACAAGGCCCATCCCCGAGGGGGGCTTTGAGACCTCGCGATAGAAGGGCTTTCCTTCCCGTGAAATCTCGCGAGAGGAGCGCTCTTTCCCTTTTATCTTCTTGGAGCCGCCAAGATGGTAGGTGGCGAGTGAGGCGGGGGCGCCGCCTGAGGAGGCCGTTTCTCCCGACGGAGGGTGGCCGCGCGGGGACTTAGCCGCCAGGGAATGGCGGCTGCCTCTGGGTGGGTGGGGGGGAGGTTTCTCGGGGACTTTTACTAACAGTGAACTCAAGGCCGGGCTCTGCGCTCGGAGCCCCCTTCGCCCTCGGGCTGTCCTACCTCGCAGGGTTGCTGTTGGAAAGACAACATCCACGACGCGCTTCCCTGCCTCCTCCAGCTCATCGGGACTGGCGCTTCTCCCCACGGCTTTCTTTTTAAGCCCCCCCGGCCCATGGTGGGGTTGGGTTGGGTGTTGAATGGAGCAGCGCCGCCCCTCAAAATATCTGTTACTGATCTGCGCCTTTCTCAGTCGAAGGGATAGCTGGGGGGGGGGGACGGGGCGGGGCGCCCTTTAGATCAGGGGCTCCTAAACTCCGGACTAGAAAGTGGCTCGGGAAGTTCACTCAGGTGGCCTGCTGTACGTAGCACACCTGTAAGCAGTGGCGTAGCGTGGGGGGTGCAGGGGGGCCGGGCGCAACATCTGGGGGGGGCGTGCTCGCACTCGCAGCTCTCTGCTCGAGTGCTAAAATCCACAGGTTAGGGGGTGCAAATTACTTGCCTTGCCCCGGGTGCTGACAACCCACGCTACGCCACTGCCTGTAAGAATAAAACTTTTAAATCGTACAGCATCTACCACAACACTTTACCATTGCTCCAGTGAGGAAAAAGACCATCATCAAGTGAGGGACCCCTGACCATTAGGTCCAGTCATGACCGACTCTGGGGTTGCGGCGCTCATCTCGCTTTACTGGCCGAGGGAGCCAGCATACAGCTTCCGGGTCATGTGGCCAGCATGACTAAGCCGCTTCTGGCGAACCAGAGCAGAGCACGGAAACTCCATTTACCTTCCCGCCGGAGCGGTACCTATTTATCTACTTGCACTTTGAACTGCTAGGTTGGCAGGAGCTGGGACCGAGCAACAGGCGCTCACCCCATCGCAGGGATTTGAACCGCCGACGTTCTGATCAGCAAGTCCTAGGCTCTATGGTTTAACCCACAGTGCCACCCGTGTCCTGGTCTGACAAGACCCCGCAGCAATTTTTGAGTGTTTCATGGGATAAAAATATTTGCATAGAGGTCCAAAAGCATTTTTTTTCTGAAGGCTGCTCCAATGCCTTATGTTTCTGCTCTTTGCAATGTGTCATACATGGGTGTCGGCACTGTGACAGTGAACAGGTTTGCTTAGTGGACCTCTGGGGAGAGATGCGCTGTAATTATTGCTTTGCCTGCTTTTAATTATTATTATTATTATTATTATTATTTATACCCCGCCCATCTGGCTGGGTTTCCCCAGCCACTCTGGGTGGCTCTCAACAGAATACTGTATTAAAAACATGATAAAACATCAAACATTAAAAATTTTCCTAAACAGGGCTGCCTTCAGATGTCTTCTAAAAGTTAGTTGTTTGTTTCTTTGACATCTGATGGGAGGGCGTCCCACAGGGTGGGCGCCACTTCCAAGAAGGCCTTCTGCCTGGTTCCCTGTAACCTCACTTCTGGCCCTCAGAACTGGACCTCAGTGTCTGGACTGAATAATGTGGGTATACTGGCAAATATACCACATGCCAAATAGGAGGCATGACACAGGAAACTCGCACCAAGTCAGGTGGTTGGTTCATCTAGTTCGGTTGGGGTTTTTTGGCGGGCAGTGGCTCTCCAGGACTGTGGGAGAAATCATTCCCAGCCCTACCTGGAGGTGGAGATGCCAGAGATTGAACCAAGAGCCATTTGTGTGTGCTGTACCATGGAGCTATGGCCCTTCCCATGTTGAGGTCTGAAGGGGATTTTAGTCATGTTTGCATGATTGGGAACCCTACTTTAATCAGGAAACCAAGCTGCACATGCAAGTGAAAGGCTGCTTCAGACCTCAGCTCAACATGGGAAGATCAGGAAATGAACGGGCAGGGCTGGTGCACGTGGGGATATTAGAGGTTGCGGAGGGTTCTACTTCCATATTCAGGTGAATGTCTGAACATGCCTATATACAGTGGTACCTCAGGTTACATACGCTTCAGGTTACAGACTCCGCTAACCCAGAAATATTGCTTCAGGTTAAGAACTTTGCTTCAGGATGAGAACAGAAATCATGCTCTGGTGGCGCAGCAGCAGCGGGAGGCCCCATTAGCTAAAGTGGTGCTTCAGGTTTAGAACGGTTTCAGGTTAAGAATGGACCTCCGGAACGAATTAAGTACTTAACCCGCGGTACCACTGTACTGTTATTGAATCCAATCTTAATAGCCTGAAAAGACTGCTGGCCTGAAGGGATTTATTTTATTTATAGGTGTACAGTGGTGCCTCGCAAGACGAAATTAATCCGTTCCGCGAGTCTCTTCGTCTTGCGGTTTTTTCGTCTTGCGAAGCACGGCTATTAGCGGCTTAGCGGCTTTAAGAAAAAGGAAACAAACTCGCAAGACGTTTCGTCTTGCGAAGCAAGCCCATAGGGAAATTCGTCTTGCGGAACGACTCAAAAAACAGAAAACCCTTTCGTCTTGCGAGGCATTCGTCTTGCGGGGCACCACTGTATTTATTTTATTTTATTTTACATAGGTTTTAGTGTGGCTTATCTTGCTAGCTTAGTATGGCTAGCGCTATAGCATATTGATGCATATATAATATGGTATCCATATGGTGGTTAAAGTTTCAGGCTGCAGAGACCAAGGTTCAAATCTCCACACAGCCCTGTGGCTCACTGGGTGATCTTGGGCTGATCACAGCCTAACGTAGACACAGGAATTTGTGCAGATAAAATGAGGATAATGGTGTATATGCCATCCTGAGGTGAGAAAAAAATATGAGATTACTTATTTACCGGTAAGCACCACTTGAAGTTAATTAAACAGTCAAAGCACAGCAAACATTGAAATGCCAGTGTCTTCAGAAAAGGTAAATGGGAAGCACACATTAATCAGGCCTGTAAATCTGATTAAGGTTCATAAGCAACTGTTCCAAGCTGGAGATCCCCCACTGGTGTATTCCAGTCATGTGTTGGTTCTTGAAACATCATGTTACATTTGTTCTTCTTTCATTGGGCACTGATATAACATATGCTGTTATATTGTCTTTTTCTTAAGCCTTCAAGACTGAGGAAGACCAGGAAACTGCGAGGTCACGTCAGCCACGGCCATGGTCGTATTGGTACGTGTAGAAGCAGCTTCCATGTAAAACTATTTTGCTACTTAAATCTATTGTTGCTTCACAGGGTTTTGGAATCTTCTCCCCTGGTTATCAGGTGACTTAAACCTAAAGGGGAAAAAAGCTTTTTGGTGTCTGACACTTCTAGTTTTCGGCTTGCTCCCCCGCCCCCTTTTTTTTTTAAAAAAACTCCTGAGTGTAGTTGCATGGGAGTAAAGCATATGGTTTATAATTTTTTTATATTGCCTTTCATCCAAAGATCACAGGGCAGTTTGCAATATAAAAACAAAAATATATAGCATAATTAACAAACTAAAACAATAACACTCCCCTTCACACACACAGTTTAAAAGGCCATAGATGGTTTAATTAGCCAAAAGCCTGGGAGAAATGTTTTTGCCCGGTTCCTAAAGACAGGTAACAAAGGTGTCAGGCAAGCAGAAAAGGCCTATTCTTGTGTTGCTCCCCTTTGGACCTCTGGCAGAGGATGCACACGAAGGACCTCAAACGATGATCTGGGTCAGTTCATATGGGGATAGATTGTCCTTGAGGTGTTAGCTGCTAGCAAAGGCTATCTTTCCATAGCTACAGCCACTGTGCCTTTGGGTCCAGCTTGCACATTCCAGAATGAATACAAGCAATGGGGAAGAAGTTCCTTAGTACCTACTTTATCTCAGCCAAGGTTTCCCCTTGCAAATATGAGGTTCAAGCTCTTTGCAGGAAAATAGGTAACAGAGAAGTTTTAATAAGTGTATTTAGCATAGCTCTTGAGTCAGAACTGTTATGAAATGCAACATGGTTATTGTATAGAAGCAGAGATAAATAGTATCAGTAGTAAATATAGGATTGCTTGTTAACAAGTTCTGCTTCACTCCTTGACACAAATGGGTTTACCATACTTGGTGCCTAAACTTGCATAGGTTTCCCACATCCCTTCAGGCCTTGTTCCAAACCCAAAATGGCATCCACTATATGGCCTCTGGAGCAGTTGTAGCCTAACCATATATTTTTAGGCAGGCATTGGGGACAATGAATGGGTAAAAGAACTACCGTCCTAAGTCCTGCTTTGTGTAACTACCGGTAATTATACTTCCAGTTTGCTTAGAGCTAGCGTAGCATGAATGACATAACTTTAGAAAGTGGAAATTCCAAGTTCCTAGAAATGTGGTCTGAAGAAAGTAGATCTCACTGCTTTGCTAGCCTGATAAAAAAAATTGAGCTTTTTAAAGCCATAAACTGGAAGTCGACCTTGACTGTTAAGGCCAGTAGGGGTGCAGCTAATCACACAGCAGACCTGTAGCCTGATCCTTTGCAGGTTCACTATGATTCATACAAAGGCTGAACTAAATGTTTACTAGAGGGGAAACACGATGGAACTTCTGAGTAAACATGTGTAAAGTTGTGCTCTAAATTCTTGGACAGTTAACTCCTCTATGATAGTATGGGTGTGTCTGCAGGCTTAAGCTTGCCTAAATCTTGTGTTGGATTGTGGTCTTTAGGTACTGGTGATGATAAACATTTAAGCTGGCAGTGTGTGTGCGTGTTTCTCTGCTTTAAAGTTTTTTAAAAATATTTCTGTTTGATGTTTCTCTTTAGGTAAGCATAGAAAGCATCCTGGAGGACGTGGTAATGCTGGAGGCTTGCACCACCACAGAATAAACTTTGATAAATAGTAAGCTAGCCCTTTTTTCTTTATTTCCCTTCATTTCTTCCCTCATCAACACCCCCCCCCCCAAAAAAAAAACTGGCACCAAAAAATAACTACCTATGTAGATTCAGCAGTTAAGAAATACCGTTTTCAAATACTGAACTGTATTTAAGGAAAGTATACATGCATTTTATTGCAACAGCTGTGGAAAGCTTGAACTTTCATCACTTGTGGCTTCTCAGAGCTCTATGGAAGCCAGTAAGTACAAGTCTATGTAAAGTATATTTAGTATCTGCTTTCCTAATGAATTTTATTTCACATAGTTTTGGGGAATACAGTGGGATCCCCCCAGCCTTTCAGAGCAAATTCTTTTGGTGGAGTAGGCTGCAAGGGGAGAAGAAGGACCCCCCCCACACACACACACAATTTGCACAATCAGAAGTGTGCTGCAGGAGGCCAATACGATAGGATGGTCCCCCTTGTTTTGTTTAGTAAATATTAGCAAAATACGCTAAATAGGACCTCAAGTCAATATGGGGCATTAGAAAAATTTCCAAAGAAGTTACAATGATAGTTTTCAAATGTAGGAAGCTGCCCTATACAGAATCAGACCATTGGTCTATCTAGATGAGTACCATTGACTGACTGGCAGTGGCTCTCCAAGGTTGCAGGCAGGAGTCTCCTCTAGTGTTACCTGGAGATGTCAGGGATTGAATTTAGGACCTTCTGTGTCCAAATCAGATGGTCTACCACAGAGCTACCTATGGCCCTTCCAGAAAATGGAAGTGCTAGCCCACTTTTTATTACAGTGGTACCTTGGTTGTTGAACTTAATCCGTTTGATTCCTGAAACGATCCGAAAATCAAGGCACAGCTTCTGATCGGCTGCAGGAGCTTCCTGCACTCAAGCGGAAGCTGCGTCGGATGTTCGGCTTCCGAAAAACATTTGCTAACCAAAACATTTCTAGGTTTGCGGCATTCAGGAGCTGATTTGTTTGACAACTAGACTGTTCAGGAACCAAGGTACCACTGCATTTGGACTTCAGGTGCACCTAGTATCATAAAACAAACTGGCTCAACACACTAGTTTTTAAAATAAATTCTTTTTTAGCCTCTAGATTCTGGTTTATTTCAAATGTACGTAGACATGTAGAATAGCAATAATCTTATCTGTTCCAGTCCATGATATACTGTCATACACAATCTTTTTCCTGCTTTTATCTGTTTCCCTGAGAATTTGGCAAGACAGTGAAGTTGCATATTTACAAATAACTGAGACTAGAGTCACATCTAGATATTTTCAGTTATCATGGTGTGCTATAGTGCTCAGAGAGTAACAACTGACTTTTATTCACTGACTGTGCTCCGCATAGTACAGTCAGCCATCAGGTTAGTAACAGGGCTGTTCCTCAGAGTAAGAGATGTGTGTCAGCAGGAGGGTGCAGACAACAATGTCTCATGTAGAGCTTTCTCCTTTCTCAATATTTGCCTCATCTTTGTACCCTGTATTAAGAAAGAAGCTTACTTAAAAGCACTCTGAGCTCATGGCTGACCTCAGATTTGAATTAAGAATGTCTGCATTACACCTTTTGCTCTTAACCTGTGCCAGATATTTTTGTCGGTAAACCTAGACATGGTCATCCAATAAACCTTGGTATTGTTGCTTATGCATTTAAAAATGCATCATGCAGTGATTTTTCAGTTTGTGATTTTTCTTTCTAGCCATCCTGGTTATTTTGGAAAGGTTGGTATGAGACATTACCACTTGAAGAAAAACCAGCACTTCTGTCCCACAGTCAACCTGGATAAACTGTGGACACTTGTTAGTGAGCAGACAAGGCTCAAGTATTCCAAAAATTCGGCTGGATTATCACCTGTAATTGATGTTGTGCGCTCAGTAAGTGTCAAAAACTTTTGAATGAATTTTTTATAGTGATGCAGCTCTTCCCAAATATTGCTTTTATATTTGCTTCCTATCATGTAAAAACCAAGGAAGGTCTGCATAATTTGACTACAGTAGGCCTGCCCAGACCAAATGGGAGTTTGCCAGCCTCTTAGTTTTGCTACCTGTTGGCTGCATCTGGCTTGATGGGGCATAGATGGTGGAGACCAAGCTATAGGCCAGGCTTGCACAGTCTGTAGAGTGGGCATTTGTAAATAATAATAATAATAATAATAATAATAAATTTATTATTTATACCCCGCCCGTCTGTCTGAGTTTCCCCAGCCACTCTGGGCGGCTTCCAATCAAGTGTTAAAAACAATACGGAAAGTGATTGCATTACTTAAATTTATTGTAGGTTTTACAGTTTGTTGGTTTTTTCAGAAAGAGCTAAACCATCAGCCTGTGTTTGGATGAATGTCATACCAAACCATGGTGTTATGTAGTGTAGGGGCAAAATGACCAAGGAACGACAGTCTCCACTTCGGGAGCCTGCTTGTTTGCAATAAGCCATGGCTTGTGTCAGCATTATGAGTGAAATAGACGTATGTTGCATATTGTAAAAATGCAGTTGTAGGATACTGGTAACCCCATAACCCTGGAGTTTGAACAGCTAATTTTCCAATTAACAAGACAAAGGCAGTGCCCATTCAATAGACTTGGCTCTTTCTATTACTCATATACTGAAAATATGGTGAGACTTCATTGTATGTCTGTAGACACTGTATTGTATATACAAAAGGGGAGGTGGTAAAAAGATGGAACATTTGTCTTTCTGTCTCTTTACATTAACTACACACTTTCAAACAACTATCTCAATATTTCAGTGAAACATGATATGGTGAAAGCTTATTTTTTTTACTTTAATTGCCCCATATTACCCAAATGTTCTGTCGGCTGGAATGCACAGCTAAAGAATGCTGAGACTCATGATGATGGGCATAGTGAATATCATGAAGTAGCAAGCACACTTTAAATTGCACATGTTCCATTATACTGTCAAGTTGCTATTTTCTGTTTCCTCCCTTGTAGTCTCTAGTTCTACAGCTTCCCTCCTAGCCACAGTTTGTTTACTTGCAATATTTCACAAAGTGTACATAATCTTTTAGTTTTATTGGAACTGATCAGTGATGGTTGAAAAAAAAATTGGTACCTTCTGGGTTTGCTGATGATTCTCCTATCTGTTTATGTTTTTAGGGTTATTATAAAGTCCTGGGCAAGGGGAAACTGCCCAAACAGCCTGTAATTGTGAAAGCAAAGTTCTTCAGCAGAAAAGCAGAAGAAAAAATAAAAGCAGTTGGTGGAGCTTGTGTGCTAGTAGCATAAGGACTTCTCTATGTACTCAGAGTTAAATAAACATCATTTCAGCTACCTTGTATTCTCATTTTAATAAGCTGTTGAGAAACACTGCTAATTCTAGTGCCTGCTGGCTTGTTTACAGGAGACAAAACCTTTTCTAATGTACCATATTTACTTGAATGTATTGCACACCTTTTTGGGCCAAATTACGTCACAAAAATTAGGGTGTGCTTTAGATTTGATGGTGCCAGCAAATACTTTTTGGGTTTCAAGGTTTTGAAAATTGAGGTGTGCATTAGATTCGCATAAATGCAGCATCTCCTGGCATTCTTTTCTTTCAGCACAAGCATAATAAAAGGACAGAAGGCTCAACAAATGTTGTCGACTAACCATTGTACATTATGCATCACGGCAAGATGCACAGTTGTCATTTAAGAATAAACGGGGCAAATTTCACATCCAGTCATGATTGTTGTGCTACAATTAACAAGCAGAGCTGAATTGACTTTTATTGTCACTCTGAAAAAATACCAACATCCATAACTGTAGTCTTCACTTGGAATTATGGTAATGTTTTAATAAGCACAAGATTTCATGAAGATAGAAAGGCATTTGCAGAGCATATGTAAAACCCACCAAGAAACACCTACTAGAAAGTTTCTAAGACAATAATGCATATCTCTGTTACACACCTTCCAACAGAGCTTATGCAATTCTGTACTAGTTCTTAAGTAGTAGTAAAAAAAAATATATTTTTTAGGTTTGGTAGGCTTTTTTCCACCCTGCAACATTCAGTATGCTAAAAATCAATACAAAGCTCTTACAATGTGGTTACCAATTTGGCAAAGTATAAAAAGTCTGCATTTACACAGCTGAAAGGAACAATAAGAAGTTTGATCATTTTCAGCCCTACATATCTTATGGATGTGCTGCTTTGCTTTTTATTGTTCAGTAATGCGTGCCTTTCCTAGGTATGCAGACTTGGGGCCAGCAAGGAATAGATGGCCTACATAAGGTTTCATTTTTACAAATTCTGTTTTGATCAAGGAGCAAGCAGTTATGAGTTTCACATGAAAGATTCATTGCCTTGTAACATAACATCAAAAAGTATTCCAAAACTCATATGAAATACTAAATATAAAACCTGAATATAATACAATAGTGCAATTGCGTTCTAAAATTGGTATCACTTCAAATTAGTGTTATAACAAAATTGGGTTCAGTTTAGAAAAATTCAATTTGACCAATTGGACTTTGTACATAGAAGCTGGTGAATCTTCAGTGAAGTGTGTTTTGCTGTTGCACCTAGTTCAAAGACTGAACTAGCACAAAAACTGGGGAAGGAAATGTGTTTTGGTATTTTACATTCAAGTCCTGGGGCTTAAACAAAAGAACAGCAACCCTGTTGAACCTAGAAAACAACTCAAAATATTCCAATTTCAGAAACCTCAGGAAATGTTCAACACTGGTGAGCCATGTTACCAGAGCAGTGGGGGATATAAAATATTCAAATTCGATTTCAGAAGGCACAAAACACAAAGCAAAACATGCTTGTGTTGTCTGTCACAAGGGAGCACGGAAATATTTATGCAATATGGAAAAGCTGTAGGATGTCTTAAAGGTGCAGATCTCCTCATGCAAAAGTCTAGATGGAAAAACTTGCAGAAAAGCAGCAGCAGGGAAAACAACTCCAGAGTAGGTGACACTCAAGTGTCAACCCTCAACCTGCACATGGTCTCTGCCTTCTATTGTATCAACATAAGAGACTGACCAATAGCATTGAGCTTACAACAAAACTTGAAGCAAGGAGCTACGGCGATGTTGGTTTACTGTGCGGGGACCAACTGCTTCCTTGCTTCATATAAAAGTATTAACACATCTAAAGAAACCCAACTTGAGGTCAGGAATGTTTTTTTTCCTGCGCTTAAGGTGGAGGATAAAGGCAGGTCTGGTCCTTACTGGACTTCCTATTGATCATGCCCCTATATCAGGGGTGGAGAACCTCAGGTCTAGAGTCTGAATTTGGACTTCAGGCCAGCTTTCAGGACTCTTCCCCAAGCCACTTCCATTGCCAACCCTATTCTCTGATGTCAAGTCCTTTTGGTGGGGTAGATAATGCTTCTTGCTTGCCAGGACAGGCGTGGATGTAGAAACCCGATTTCTGCATGGCTGGAATGTCGCTTGCTGTACAGAGGTGAGAGTCGTACACCCATTTCTCTGCCCATTTAGCCTTTGCTTCCACTTACCTTTTGCATCTAGCCCTGCCAACCACTAGTATGTGGCCCCTGGAAGGTTGCCCAGGAGAGAATGTGGCCCTTTGACTGAGAAAAGGTTTCCCACTCCTGCCTTATCTTCAACAGCAGATGGGCTAGTCACTATATTTCTATAATCAGCCTGTCTTCATCATCACTGCTGCTTATGTCGTCATATTCCACGTGAGCTTGTTTGCTCATCACTTCTAAGCTTTGTTTTTTGTAGGGTTTGGATAGTGTTCCAGAGCTAGCTATGAAAGTAGAGGGGGTTTTGAAAGGAGGAAATCCAGGTTTAGAAAGCTTTCCTTGATCATTGCCTGGTTTTGTAGAGTGGATGTTCTTCTCTGTACAGCTGCAGTGGCCAGGAGAGCTGTTGGTCTCCTGCACAAGCCCTGAACTATGTAAAGGATTACTTGAAAATGATGTACCAGTAAGCAACTTGGATCCGAACAAAGCAGGACATGGAGTTTGGAAGGTGGGGGCAAGCTGCTCTTTTAGAGATGGATATAAAGCTCCACCTGTGGGTTTTTCTTTTCTTCCTGTGACGTGGACAGAGGGCTCTAAGTCGGTAAAATTTTGATACTTTGATTCTACATTATCACAGTCTGCATTTGATCCCACAAATATAGGACTAATAACCTTTGAATCCACAATGCTGTGTGAATGGCTCTTGCCTGAAACTATCAGTTCAAAGTTGCAATGCTCAATGGAAGGCCAACAATCATCAGAAATAACATCTGGCTGTGGTTCTTCCTTAAATATTCCTAAGGAGTTGACATCAAAGGTGTTTGCTTTTTCCACTACTGCATCAGTGGCCAGTGTAAAGGAATATGTTGCTTTTGAAACATCTGGAACTGCAGGCATCATCTGAAGAGAGAGACTGCCCCTGGAGCGTTCATTAGCAGACCCAGAAACTTCCTACCAGAGAAGGAGATGAAATTATCAATTCATTGAATTCACTTTCAAATCCAAAGCCACTAAGTGCATTGTGTAAATTAAGTAACTCATTTAATTACACTGACTGCAGCCTTACCCAGAAGTTAGTTCCGCAGAATTCTATGGTGATGACTCCCAGGTAAGTAAGGTTAGGATTGCTGTTGTTGGGCAGTATTCAGTGCACTCTTTCTGTCAGTGCAGGGACATCTGGCTGTGTAATGGAACTTCCCCTCCCTCTCCACTTTCCCCCAACTTAACCAGTTCTGGGAGTGTCCCAAACACACTGTTATAGATAGTGTGAAGTATTCAGCAGGAGAGGAAGGGAAAGTTGCACAAATAAATACTTGCACTAAAGTCTTATTTCTTCAAGAAGTCTACTAAGGGCCCATGCTGAAAGTTATTTTCTCACTGCAAAACGGCTTGCAGTAAGTAGGCACCTTCTGGAAAACAAATGTCATGCAACTTGTTCTTGTAAATGGCATCTATGTTTAACTTTGGGGGATGACACTTTCATGAGATAAGTTTTCATATGGATAGCCATGGTGCCTGCCAAAATTCATCTTGTAATACAAATACCTTTATTGGAAATGGAAGATCACTGACCATCACAAATGACTACCATTCCGTTCCCCCTCTTGTCATAATATTAATAGATAAGTAGTTCTGTTAGTTCAATAAGTTTTCACGGAACAAATGAACTTCTCTCTCTCCTCTCCTACCCCCCCCATCTGTTCTGGAGTTCCTCCAACCCTCTGGATCAGAATTAGGGAGGTGCATAGAGAGAAGAGGGGGACTTCCACTGTGTGATAGTTCTAGCACTAAAAAGTCTATATGGCTGTCCTACACTACAGGGCCAGTTCCAAGGTTCAGGTGTTACTTTACAAGGTGCTTAACAATTTGGGTAGAGGATAACTCTAGGATACCTGCCTGATCACTGAAGTGTTTCTTATCACTCATGGCTCAAATGCACAACTCATTTCCACCAGGAACAGCGTGTTTAGTACTGTGGGACCAATTTCATGGAACTCTCAGTTGAGGTCAGCCAGGCCCCTTCCGTACTGAAGTGCTGGTACTTACTGAAGACTTTTTAAAAATCCCAGTAGCCATTTTAATTTAAGTTTTATTTTATAGTTTCAACTGATGTTTTATTTTTTGTACTGTACTTTTAACTTGTTTGTTTAATGATTTAATTAAGTATTATTAAGTTGAGTACCGCCCAAAATATCCCATTGCTTTTTGCGACTATTAAAACTATCCATTGGGGAATGGCTGGTTTATCAACTACTTGTGCTTTCAGCTTTTAATTAGTCCAATGTTACTTGAGTTACCAAGAGTTGAAAAGGTATTCCCAAATGACTCCTTACTTCTTTCATCTGGTTCTTTTTCACAGAGGAAGCAGCTTTGTCAGTTGGGGCATAAGATGTCTCCTGCTGTAGATTTTGGTCATTCCCTGTTTGGAAAGAAAACAGAGACACCGTGGTTAGCAGGCTGATTTTCGTTTTCCACTTTTTCTGGGCAAATAGGTTCCAGGTGGCTTCCACTTAAGATTTGAATTCATAGTTAGTGATATACAGAACGCATTTGACAAATGAAATTTTACAAGTAGTTGCTTGTTTTTGCCACCTTAACTGCTTGTGATGTCTTGGAATACATTAATGTATTTAAACATCTCTGTAAGGCAGGCTGGGCTATCAAATTTAGTTTACCATGCCCAAAGCCAACATTTATCTGCACTTCAATGGCAACATCATCAATTAAATTTGTATACCACCCTTCATCCACAGACCTCAGGGCTGTTCACAACTTAAAATAAACACAAAATACATAATAAAAATAAGAACAAATACAAACACAAACCAATAATCACCCCTCCTACAACACATTTAAAAGGGCATCAGATTTCAGTCAGCCAAAGAGTATGGTTGAAGAGGAACAAGAATTCTGAATTGCAGACCAACAGGTAAATGAAGTGGAAGCCGGGGGGAGTGCAAATGTGGGTGAAAGTGTCCAGAATTAGTAACAAGGGGAGTAGAAACATGTTTCATGCTTTGAAAGGAGTTGTCACATCTGGGTATGGTACCTTTTGGCCCTCACAGATGACAGATGAGTTGGAAGTCAGAGAAGGAAAAATGGAATGCCCTAAAGGAATAACACACAGAAACAAAGTAACCAGGGAACGTATGATTAAACCTATTAATACCCTTTTTTAAAAACATGATGGAAATAATGGTTTAATAATTCTCAGCTCCATAGTCCATGTTTTCATACTTCCATCCATGGAAGCTGAAAGCACTTTATTGTAAAATCCATCCTGTGTAATACTGTCAGCCTTATAGTTTCAATCTAAATGATCAAGAGAAAGGCTGGAAAACAAATGCTATGCTGGCTTCGATATATCCTTTAGCAATAGAAAAGCTGGGCCTCGTAGATACTCATCCCTTGAAAAACAGCTTACACTCCTTAGTGCAGCAATTACTAGTTCATGTCTCCAAGGAAACCGGTACCAAAGAGCTAAACAGAGATGATTAAAAAGGGAAAAGATGTGGAAGCAAGGAGAATCTGTGCTGAAATGGAAACTGCCCCAAGCCTCTACTTTAATTCAAAGACAGACAGTGTTAAGTGGGGGCCCTGGGACACACTGCTATAGAGATGGGGAGCCTGTGGCCCTCAAGGTGTTATTGAATCCCAACTCCCATCAGCTCCAGCCAGCACAGTAAATGATGAGGAATGATGGGGGTTGTAGTCCAACTGCAGGAGGACCACAGGTTCCCCATCCCTGTACTAGCACCATATGTGGCCCAATGGGAATTAAAGTACTTCTGCACTTGACTCAAAATTAATGCAAGTACATTTCTCATGCTCTTGGTATCGGTTGTCTGGTACCAGACACCTTGACATGCCATTTCAAATCTGAATACTTGTGCATCCATTTTAAGCAGTGTAGTGTAAGTACATACAATGACTTAGACTTGACAACTTAGACAGCATGGCCAAGAATTGGCATCTTCAAAAATTTTCACCTGCATCCAAGAGCAAATGTTCTATTAGATGCTTAAAGGTAAAGGGACCCCTGACCATTAGGTCCAGTCGTGACCGACTCTGGGGTTGTGGTGCTCATCTCGCTTTACTGGCTGAGGGAGCCAGCGTACAGCTTCCAGGTCATGCGGCCAGCATGACTAAGCCGCTTCTGGCGAACCAGAGAAGCACACGGGAACACCGTTTACCTTCCCGCCGGAGCAGTACCTATTTATCTACTTGCACTTCGTGCTTTCGAACTGCTAGGTTGGCAGGAGCAGGGACAGAGCAACGGGAGCTCACCCTGTCGCAGGGATTCATTTTTTTTTAAAATCATATTTATTAAAAGTTTAAGAATTACAGAAAAAAGAGAAAAAGAAAACAGCAAAAAAATTGACAAAGCATACATTACAATACATGAAAAGAAAAGCATAAAAAACAATACAATACAGCAAAAAAGAAAAACACAATAACATTAAAACACACATCCAATGTTCCATATCTTTATCTTTCATTTACTTGTTTCATCAACCTCCTCACACCTCCCTTTTTGTATTCTAATTTAATTAATTGTTTCAGCAAATTCTTTTCATCTTTCTCAATTTTTGTTATATAATTTATCTTAACAATCTAACCTTTTAATTAACTCAACAAATCCTTTCCATCTTTCACTATATTCTGTCATTCAATTTACCTTAATTTATTTAACCTTATCTTACCATAAAAAAAACACCTTAAAACTTAAAACTTAATGTACATAACTCCTTATATCATTTCTACTAAAGCCAAATAGTTTCATTCCAACATTTTTCCTAATACTCGTTAATTTTACACTAATTCTCAAAATAATTTTTTTTAAAACTTTCTTCCAATCTTCATCCAACGTCTCTTCTTCTTGGTCTCGGGTTTTGTCAGTCCTTCTTGTCCATTCCATCTAGTCCATCAACCTGGTGATCTTATGTCCGAGGCTCTTAAGTCTTTTCAATGTCCCTTCTGCAGATCTTCTTCTTGTTTATACCTGCACTTTACTTTGTCTTTTGTTGATCTTTTTCTTAATTTATTTCCTTTCTCATTGGGGGGTAGGTCTCGGGGGGACTCCAATCCAAAAATATCTCCATCTCTCCTCAGCAGATCAGTCCCATTCCCCCCAGTCAACACTGTAATCCAGAAAGTATTTAAAAGCATGTTTCAAAGTCCTTCCAAAATTAAGAGCCCTCACAACTCCAGACCCCCCCTGGTCCACTCCAGATTCAAACTTCAAGAACAGCGGCTTATGCTCCTGCAAGGCCTTGGATCTCTCCATTTGTGTTGCTTGAGGTTCAACAGCAACCTCCTCCATTATCTTCTGCACTTGCACTTGCCCTGTCAAAACAAGTTCCTGGGCTGGTTCCTGAATGGTTTCTATATGGGTATTCGCCGTTTGTCCAAAGTTTTTAACTGCAACAGTCATCAAATCCATCTTCTCATGCATCTGCTCCAACAAAGCGCTTGTCTTACAAAAAGCAAGCACCAAAACTTCTTCTAAACACATTTTTATTCAAGGTCAGAGTCTGGTCTCACGATCCTAATCTTACAGCTGTGAAATCCCCAGATCGACTCCGGCAACAAATTAACAAGCTCCCTCTAGAGGAGACAATTTCTATTTGTATCCATCTTTTGAAAGCAGGACCAACAAAAGAAAATTACTTTCATTTTTCAAATACTTTGTTTCTTTTGAATGCAAGAAGCAACAGTGGAGTCAATTTGTTTCTCTTTTTTACTATCTGTCAAAAGACGTTCCATTCACAGTCGATGAACTTCCCCATAAATTTCTGTCTCTGACACCCCGTTCCCAGGTTTGAGACGGTGGAAATTTATCTTTCTTTACTCTCTCTCCTGCAGGCTGAAACAGTCAAAAATTCCCCCCCTTTTCTCCTGCTTCCAAGAGGGGTTTTGGTGGTAATAACTGAAGGAAATTTAGACCTTTATATATGACTTTCCAGACTTTAGCTTACAAAGTTTTTGCTTCAATCTATTTACAAAAAACGGGAGGCGGACTTCCTGTTTAGAGCCTTCCCGCTTCAGTGCCAAATTAAAATATTTCTTAATCCAATTTTCCGTTCTACTCACGGGTACTTGTTTAGAGTCCAATTGTCCACAGGAAAAAGTCAGCGCTCTCCGGCAACGGCTGTGCGGCTTCACTCCGTAAAAGTAGTGGTTGATTCAAAACACCGCGCCACTCACCCCACGTCGCTTCAGATCCCCGAAAAAGGGTTTCCCTGCGAGTAGGGGAGGCGCTCCTGGTGTCAGCCGAATCCCACGTTCCCAGGCTTCCTCCGCCTGGGATTTTTAGAGGGTCTCCGCCTTCGCCGCAGCGGCAAGACCCGATTTTCACGGAGCGGGTTCCTCTCGGTCAGAGGAACTCCGCCATTGCCGATGGCGCTAACCCGGAAGCCTCCGTCGCGGGGATTCAAACCGCCGACCTTCTGATCGGCAAGCCCTAGCCTCTATGCTTTAACCCACAGCGCCACCTGCGTCCCTTCTATTAGATGCTTACTTGACGTAATTAAGAATGTGGCATGTAACCATCTGTGCCAGGGCTATCTTTCATATGAGCCTTGAATTAAGAGGAAAAGACAGTGAAGCTGCCATGAAGGGAGCTGTGGAGGAATGCCACTTGAACATGACCAATGCAGCGCTATGTAAGCCTCCCACCAGCACAACCATTTAAGCTTGCACACTGGGCTTTTATCGCCATTGCATGTCCCCTAAATCTATCTTAGGGGTTTCCCCAACCCTCCAAGGCTTATTTGGGAAGGATGTAGGGAACACATGGGGAGTCCTATTGCACAAGTGAAAATTCTTGTGCTGACAGGAAGAGAGAACTAGGTATTTAGCAGGAGTCAGCATCCCTCTGTGAGCAGAGGCAGAGCAAGGTGGGTGCGGTACACCCCGGGTGCCATACCTAAGGGGGGTGACATGGCCGCAGGTGGTACACACCCACCCACCCTGGATGCTCCCTGCTGCTGGCACACACCCCTGGGACATGCACCACTGGCAGAGTACCCCCGCCTCTGTGAGAGAGATTGAATTTGGACCTTCTGCATTCAAAGCAGCTATTCTCCCACTGACCTACGAGCCCTTCCCAAACACATGTAGTACACATGGATGCATGAAGCAGTAAGGAGCAGCTGCATTTGAGCTGAGAATAGTCTGGGGTCAGTCACCAAACCATCCAGCTGGACTGGAGTAATGATGTGCTTCCAATTATTATCTCCTGGTGAGACCAGAGGGACGTCGCCTGGGTGTGAGTCGTGAAGGCCACCCCCCCGCCAGGCCCTTTCCATCTGGCCTAGGGGGTGGGGCCCAGACTCACCCAGCTCCACTAAAGAGGCTCCTGGTGAGACCAGAAGGACATCGCTATGCCTGACAACAAACCGTAACGACTGGATTATTTTGCCCCATTTTTTTGTGCCTGCCAAACAGCCATGTCATGCTTATTTTATTCTCTTGTTAATCATGCTGTTTTAAATGTGCATTTTATATTTGATTTTTCTTTTGGAAATGTTTATGATTTTTTTTGTTAACTTTGTGTTAAATATGTATTCTGTAGTTGATCTCCTTTGTAATGTTTTATTTTGAAATCTTTAAGCTAATATTTTAGTTTTCTGTTAATTATGTTTCTTTGCCTGTATACTCTATATTTGAATTTCTTCTGATTGTGTTATTGGTGTGTTATTGATGTTTTAATATTCTGTAAACCGCTTTGAGATTTTTCTTAAAAATATAAAGCAGTACAGTGGAACCTTGGGTTAAGAACTTAATTTGTTCTGGAGGTCTGTTCTTAACCTGAAACTGTTCTTAACCTGAGGTACCACTTTAGCTAATGGGGCCTCCTGCTGCAGCCGCGCAGCCGCCGCCTGATTTCTGTTCTCATCCTGAAGCAAAGTTCTTAACCTGAAGTACTATTTATGGGTTGGTGGAGTCTGTAACCTGAAGCGTCTGTAACCCGAGGTACCACTGTATAGAAATAAAATGAAGAAGAAGAAGAAAAAGAGGAAGTAGTAGTAGTAGTAGTAGTAGTAGTAGTAGTAGTAGTCATGGAGAGCTAACCTTACCTTGAGAGGCTGTTGGAAGACAGGACCATTTTCCACAAGGTTCATGGCTGTCGGATGTGTGGGAATTGGGACGCCTTTTGGGGGTCTCCAGGGGCCTGTTTGCTGGCCAGCGTTGCTTGCCCAGTCTGTTGGTTTTCAGCAGAATGTGTCTATGTCCATAACTCCCCTTATATCTACAAAGTAAAATATACAGGTTTATGTCTTTGGAATGCTTTATGACCTTGTTTTCCGAGGGCCACATGTCATCACAAGCAATGGAGGGCCCTTCCGGATTGGTGCTTTTGTGCAGGTGTGTTCTGCAACATGCTACTGATGATGCAATAACTGTGCATTAGTGATGGATCTACAATGGACCATCCACACATGGTTCTACTTCATTAGTTGTTCTGTGGTGCTTCTCCAATGTTACCACATTACTGCCATCTGCAGGGGAACTCCTGCACTAAAGTGCACCAAAAAAAAAGCAGAACCAGGAATTTAAAAACCCAACCCAACCATGTATGGTATAAAAGTTACTGGATTTCAGCAGGAAGTTATAGGACATGCACAGATTGGAAACACAGCAGTACGTTCACCCCGAAACCTAGTGGCTGAAGTAGAGATTCCAGCTCTAAGCAACATTCCAGCCCCTGATATACAACAGTTCACAGAAGCAGATCAAGCAAGAGTGGGAAGCATACATCTTGTGGATCATCTGTCTAATACGGCTTTTGTATGAGACAACAGGTTCTTAACATTCCAGTTCTCACCTTTTAGACTCTAAAATGACTGAAAAGCAGGATAAAATATGCTTTAAATGACTAATACTGAAAATATTGCCTTTCCCGTTTTGTAATGAAACCATAATTTGTTCTGTAGTGCTTGCCAATAACTTGAAATCAATAATGACGCATATGAAAGCATATCTGCAATTTAACATTAATCCAGTTAAGGCCACCAAAGAGGCGATTTATCCCTGCTGAAGACTTGGCCTGAAGACCCATACATTTTGCTTCATTATTGTAAACTGAAATTTGGTGACCAATCAAACCCACACATAACTCTTTCTTGAACTTAGTTGCCTATGACGCCAAAAATGCCAGCTAATCTTCTACTTGGGACAAGGGTAGCCACATAACATGTGTTCCAAGTCACAATGTGGCTCCATATGTATTCTTCACTTTAAGTGTTCTTGATGATACCATCTGTTTTGTCTGAGTTCAGTCAGTTACGATCAGAAAGCAAATTTTCGTCCAAAAACCATTTGGCCTAATTCAGTTTTCTTTTAACCATATTGCAAATGGCAAGGGTGACTTCATGCGTGGTCTAATCTGATGTTACTACAGATATGAGATTCAGGACTACACCCATGCTGATCACATTGTGTTTTATGGCAGCTCTTATGTAACATTATACGAGCACTGCAATTAAACAGTGCTTGTCAAATTTCAGGATTTATCAGCCATGCTGAGGTGTAAAGGGAGAAGATACCTTCATCTGTACTTCCTTTGGCATCTATTATTTGCTCTCTCCTCTCCCACCTTCTTTGTTACCTCTCTTTCTTCTCTCTCCTTTATGAACTCAGTTATTTTGTTTACACGGGGGAGCCAGAGAATAGTTAAAGATAAAGGGACCCCTGACCATTAGGTCCAGTTGTGGCCGACTCTGGGGTTGCGGCGCTCATCTCGCTTTATTGGGCGATGGAGCCGGCGTACCGCTTCCGGGTCATGTGGCCAGCATGACTAAGACGCTTCTGGCGAACCAGAGCAGTGCACGGAAACACCGTTTACCTTCCCGCCGGAGCGGTACCTATTTATCTACTTGCACTTTGACGTGTTTTCGAACTGCTAGGTTGGCAGGAGCTGGGACCGAGCAACGGGAGCTCACCCCGTCGCGGGGATTCGAACCGCCAACCTTCTGATCAGCAAGTCCTAGGCTCTGTGGTTTAACTCACAGCACCACCCGCGTCCCAGTAGAGAATAGTTACAGAGACAAATATAATCATAAATAGCCAGGACCAGGGGCAGCCCATCCTGTTTCACCACCTGAGGCAAAATAGGAATGTGCCGCCTTGTTCATGGCTCCCTTGTTTATTGGGGTTGCTGAAGCACCTCATTTACCATGGTCTCAGGAAGCTCACAGGAACCTCTCCAGAGGAGGCAGTGGGGGAGCACCCGAGGCAGCCACATCAGGACAGACCAGCCCTGACCAGGTACAAAGTCCGGTTTTTCGCATTTTAGTTGCTGTTGCAACGAGAACACCATCAATGAAACTTCTACCCACAGAGCTACACACATGCACTTTTGTTCTGAGAGAAAAAGACATCATGAACAGTACATCTGGAGCTACCACCATGCCATGTTTGTAAATACTACACATATCCAGAGAAAATGATTTTTCTATTAGATTGAAGCTAACCCCGATATTTCTCACCGTTTTTGACTGATCTTCATTTTTTTCCTTTTACGGCTTCTCTTTCCTTTATTGGCTGAGAGTCCTCTCACTTTGTTAAGCTTTTCTTTTGCCTCTTCTGCCTCTGGAATGTCTTTTAACAGCACATCAAATCCAGTTGTTGTAAAGCACTGCTACAAATATAAAAAACAAAACAAAATGGCAAGATAAATGTAATTTTTTAAACCACCAAAATTATGGAAGAATTTAACCCATATATAGAGCGCTAGAGAGAGAGAGAGATCAGAGATCAGGGACGGTAGCAACAGCTGCCCAGAGGACTCCCAAGTAGAGGGGGAGAAGTGAGCAGGCTGAGGGAAAACTCCACAAGGGAAGGTGTTCGTAGAAGGGTGAGATGCTGCCTGTTATGCAGGCAAGGGGTGACATAACTGGGCTCCTGAGCCCCACAGGGGTGCTGCAGGAAGAATGTAGTTGGTCAAGGGAGCTGTGGACTAAAAAAAGTTGGAAACCTCTTAGTTAGATACTACAACCCATGAAAAGCATGTCATAACCGTCACTGAGAGCTCTATTAAGGTAGGTGATTTTGAGGGTAGGTGTTTTGAGGGTATCAACCAATGTTTGTCATGGATGGCCCCATGGCCCTTGGATATCAGAGTATGAATCGATCATACGCTGCTAGTATTAAGTACTAACAAGATAACATATGAGCATGCTCCTTAACCACCATTCTTCCATTTTATTCTAGGTACAATGTGATATTCCTCTATTTGGGAAGGAAGGGAGTAAAGGAATTACCTTCTCTACCTGCTGCTTCTGTGAAAAGCAAGTGACTGGTGCTTTGGGGGTCCCAGTCGTCAAGCCTTGGCTAGCAGCCTTCTTGGTACTTTTCATTTGGCAAAAGGAAAGACTACATTTTGACACCATGCTTTCATTTTTGCAGGTATGCAGGGAAGAATAAGCAGAATCTTTCTTCTCCATCTGCTCAACAGGAAGAGGGAGGTTTCTAGATAAGCAACACCACGTTAACTGAGGCTCCGCATTTAGAGTTGGGAAGGATATATTCAAGCTCGGAACTTTCAAGTTTCCTGCACGAGAAACTGCACTTAACTGGGACAGCGTGCAGACTTCCTTCTGTTGGGTGCAGAGCACATGGCAATAAAGCGTGTCCGAGGAATGGCAAAGGCATTTGGAACTATCGACCGAACAGCTGGACAGATCTTGAAATCCTGGAAAAGGGTTAACAGCCGATTGCCATTCCGTGATTTTTGTGTCTGTGTTTCCACAAAAAACTGCCCTTTCCACCAATGAAGACACAGATAGAACCGAACTGTTCCCTGAGTGTATTAACTGAAGGGCGGGACTCTGCCCTGTCATGTCCGAAGATATAAGAAACCCTCCTCTATACATAGATGTAAAGTATATTTTCCCCCCTGGCATCTGTGATGTACAAACAATCACACGCCCATCCCCTTCCTGTGGTAGCTTTTGATCATCTAAATGGTCTCCATTATTGGCTCCTTTCCCCTCATCTTTCGTCTTCTCCTTCTGCCTGACATTCTGTAGATGGCATCTTCTGTCTAACCTGGTTGTGATGCTGGTGGTTTCTAGGATAGCTGGTGAGCAAACTACCAGAGACTTCAGTGTTGTATGTACTTCCCCTTTTAGCTCTTTTGTTCTGTTCGGATGACTCAGTTCCAATTGCAAAGGGCACAAAAATACATCTGTGGAGCTGGTTCCAACTGATCTATTGTTACTGGCAAGGGAAGAGGAGTCAGTTGACGTGCAGGGCAGTGAAATACAGGGCATTTCCTTTGACACTCCTGCTAGAATTAATGGCATGTCTGTACTATTCGCTTCTTGTGCACATTTTAGGATATACTTTGGGAGAAATTCATTTTTCTTTAGATGTGGAGCTGCTTGATCAACTACTGTATGTTGTGTGTGGGGTGGTGCTGTATCTCCACTCTGATATGACATTTCTGTCCCCGTTATCATCGGACATGGGTTTTCTGTCAGTTTTTGTAAAGCAGATGAATTGCAGGTGTGCTCCTTTTTTATCCCAGCCTTGAGTTGTTCAGAAAATGAAAATGCTGGTACACTTGCTTTATCAGTGAGATTAGCAACATCATCCTTATTATTAGAAACCATTACGGGATATTTGACTGCTTCCTCATATTCCATGTTGCCACCTGATGCATTTGCTCCTACTGTTCCTGTCTGCTTTTCTCCTTTAACTGAATGACTTACTGATACTGGAGCAACCATATTAAGAAGTTTGTAATGGTCTAGTGGTTTCACAGTTCTCTCTTCTGAGCTGCTGTGACCAATACTGACTTTTAGTTTTGTATTTTCTTTGCTCTTCAGTTTATCCACTTTTAACTTTTTTCTCTCTGAGGGTAACTTTTGAAGTGTCTGCACTGGCTCACTGCTGTCACACTGCTGTGGTGGTAAGCCCCCCTGCTTAAGTTGAAAGCTTTCTTTTCCACCAGTATCTTCTCCTTTGCAGGTCAAAATATCATCATGTAATGGGGGCAAAAGTTTAATAAATCCCTCTTGTGTAATTGTCTCCTCTGAGCCAGTATTATGCAAGCTAGCAGTGTTTAATGAGGTAACAGTCTCTTGATCTGTGGCTTGCTGAAGTGGGAACTTCAGTTCACAACTGGTACTTAAAGGATGGACCTGAGTGTTGCTATTTGATTCTTCCTCTGAAACACCCAATTCTTTGTATCTGTGTTCCAGAAGTGTTTTCGTCATATCACTGTGTTCACAATCACTGACAGTACTTGATGTTTCCATTGATTCTGCAAAGCTCCTTGAACTCTCCTGTAAGGTACCACATTGCAATATAGGACTACTGATAGAATGGCCTTTCAATTCTTCAGTATTCAGTTTTGCAGAAATGGCTGCCATTGTGGTGCTTCTGCTTTCTCTTGGCAGAGTAACTCCCTCCTGACTAGTTGTTTCCTTGGCATCCAAATGGATGCTTGAAGTATCTGTCTTATTTTCCTTTGGTTTCTTGGTCATTTGACTGCTTTTCATTTTCTGGTAGATTTTCTTAAATGTCTCATCCCCATAAACCTGCCATTTTTCCTGAGAGAACATTTTAAATTTTCTTTGACTGGGTTTCTTATACTTTGCGTTTGCTCCTTCCCCCCCAGCTCCAGGCTTCTTAGTGCCTTTCACCTCTTCCGAAGAAGATGAAGATTCAGTCATGTTACTTAGCAGTAAGTCATCTACTGCCACCTGCCTGACAAGTGCTCGGGGGTGGCTGTTAGGAAAGCCTGCTGTACTTGCAGCAAAGTTGTTGCTATGCAATAAACCAGAAAAACTTGTGTTTGGGGACATTCTAGCAAAAGAAGTTAATTTTGAACTATCTATTTGATCCTGTACCCTCCTAGTACTCTCAACAAAAGGCAAAGAGTTACTTCTGGTAACAGGCACGCAATCAATTGTCGTAGAGAACTGAGTGGGGACCGAGTGAAAAAACAATGGCTTTGATTTTTCCACAGGTGTGAATATAGACTTGGCTGAGAACAGAGAAAGGTTCTTTTTTCTGTTTATGTCAACGGGCCGTATGTCAAAATGGAACGAGTCTTTATACGTATAAGGCATCGGCAAGTCAATGCTGCCCTGCTTGGACAGGACTGTTTTCCTGGGTCTAACATTGTCCAGTTGGGTGTCATCCACCACAGCTTTATTTTGAGATATTAGCTTTGAGATATGCTCCTCCAATTTCTTTTTCTCAAATGTTAAGGCTCCTGGTGCTTTCTCAGCCAAATCTACTTTTGAGCTATTTCCTGCTGTGTACCTGAGGTTGCTAATGGCTGTATCACTTTCTGACTCTATGCTGTGCTCACAAAGACTGTGCAGAGGGCTGGGAGACAGCATCTGCTGTTCCACACTATCAGAGCGTGACAGGTATCCTGAGTCAGTGCTTTCACATTTCTTCAGCTTGTAGTCTGGAGATCTGCTGTCCCATAGCTTCTCCGAGTACGTGGCTTGCTGCCTCTGTAGCTGACTGTGCTTACTGACAGTTGGAGACCTTTGCTCCTGAATCTTTCTTCTCTGGAGCGAATTCAATGGATCTTTCATGGTCTCTTTCTCAAGGGCATTCTGACTTAGCCCTCCATGATAGTTGTCCGCTGTCATCCACTGGTTTTCAGATCCAAGGAATAAAGCATTCACTGCCGGCAAAGAAGCATCAGGAAGGTGCTTCTCCCTAGTTAACACATCTGTGGACTCTGAAATGGCTTGTTTAATCAATGTCCTTGGCTGGTCACAGTTTCTATTGTTGGCTTTTGTTGTCTGGAGAGCTCCAACACTTTCAGACACCTTCTCGTTCTCTTCTAATGTACTACTGTTGTCAGATTCCGAGGGCTGCCTGGCATTGTTTACATGTGTTTGGGATCTCCTATGTTTATACAAATTGCTTTGAGTTTTAAATGCAATGCCACACGTAGTACACGGAAAAGGTCTCTCACCTGTATGTGAGCGCATGTGTTTCTCAAGAACACTTGGTTTTACGCAATCACGGCCACAATGTTTACAGAGGTACTTCCCAGCACTTTTGGATTTCCCTGGGCTTCCAAGTGGCAGGCATGGAGAAGGATTTTGTGGCAAAACCGATAAACCACTAATTATATTTATTGTCCTAGGTTGCGTCTGAATGACTGCCTGAAGTTGATCTGTCCCCTCTGAATGTAAAACTGGGCTTACGATTAAAGGCATATTAGTGCTGTCTAAGTTGATACTGGTTCGGCCTGTGGGCAGTCTGTTGTTTGGATGATGACATTCTGCCTGGGTAGGTTGATAAAATGGTATGGTAACGGCTTTCAGATATATAGTCTGGGAGACACCTTGTTCTGGCTGAAGGACCACCGGACTGAGTGAGAGATTTGATGCTGCTGGCACTGCTTGAAGGCAAGAGAGCTGAACTGGCTGATCTTTTAGTGACGCTGGAGGACAAGGAAGTCTCTGCGCCTCCATTCTCTTTATGTTATACAACTGTTCAATTGTCTGTAGAAGAAATGAAACAGAAGCTGTTAAATTGAAATCAACACTATGGGTTGGAAGAAGAATTAGTTTAATTTAGATCTCATTGACAGCATTCTGAAAACTTGTCAAAATTTAAGTCCAACTGATATCAAAGGGGCCTAAGAGACAGCTAACTGAGTCTGGATCCATCCCCCTGTTTATTTCCCACATTCTGAAGTTAAATGTCAACTGTAGTTTTTGGTCTTCTCGTAGGAATCTGGGCCATTGCGGTAAAGAGAATAGTGGACTAGATGGATCTAATATTGCAGGGCTCTTCTTATGACAATTCACAGTCATTTTTTAAAGAAAGCTGAGTGTTAACTTTGATATTTAATTTAGCTGTCACTCTGGGAAACAATGCTCTAAACATTCCTAAAAAGAAAGCCAAATGTCCCGATCCCACAGAAAACGAACTAACAAAACTTACATTTTAATCAGCACCTGCTGGTTTAAAAAACAACTGAATGAAGGAAGGCCTCAATTATCAGGAAACATGAGCCAACAGATATTCAGGGACTTGGTTTTGCTTATAAATCTGTCACACACTCTCACTAATAAAGTAGAAAATATCAAGCTTTCACGGACCAAGGCTCAATGCAGTGCATAAAGTAAAATCGAAATGGAAGTGGCAGGACACTTGCCACCCCATAAAACTCCTAATATTAAATACTGATGGCTGTATGTCCTTACAAATTGGTAACACATCAGTTTTAACTATTTTAAGTAGGCAAGATATATTCTAGTGTTTGACCTTAAAATTAATTTGCAACGCAAATGTCAGGTTAAAGGGCAGGGCGCCTGTGTCTTTAAGAGCAGTGGAAAAGGAAAACCTTTGTCAAGCATGGAATACAGAGGTGAGAAGCTTCTGATACTCAACTTCTATTGGAGTCGCCAATAGGAGTTTCCTCCTGTGCCAAAGGGGAGGGACACGGGTGGCACTGTGGGTTAAACCACAGAGCCTAGGACTTGCCGATCAGGTCGGCGGTTCGAATCCCTGCAACGGGGTGAGCTCCTGTTGCTTGGTCCCTGCTCCTGCCCACCTAGCAGTTCGAAAGCACGTCAAAGTTCAAGTAGGTAAATAGGTACTGCTCCGGCGGTAAGGTAAACGGCATTACCATGCGCTGCTCTGGTTCGCCAGAAGTGGCTTAGTCATGCTGGCTACATGACCTGGAAGCTGTACGCCGGCTCCCTTGGCCAATAAAGCGAGATGAGCGCCGCAACCCCAGAATTGGCCACGACTGGACCTAACGGTCAGGGGTCTCTTTACTTTTACCTTACCTGTGCCAAAGACCAGCTTGGGAAGGGCTTTTCAACAGTATCAGAGGAATAATTGGTTAACACCTCCCTCCCCATAGGTTGTATCCCCAATTCTTAGAGCACCTGCCAGCTGCTATGTGCAATTTAACACATATACATGTAACACCATGTCACTTCTGCAAGTGTACATGTAGTTTTTGGCCCTAAGCATGGCTACTGCACTGAAAGTTTTCACAGAACTGTTTCTATCAACAGCCCCCTCTATCAAGACCCCCTCCAGCAGTCTAGCTAATATTACCTGCCATTTGGCTTTTCTTCACTCAGAACTATCTCCTGCCCCGATTTTATTATCTGAGGTCTTACGCATGAGTTGCTATCTGCATTTGCTTACCGTGCCCCCCCACCCTCCAATTATTAGATTTTAAACTAAACATTATTTTGGCTTGCAAACCACTTGGGAGTGTATTGGCAGAGAAATGTAAATAAATAAATAAATGTACTCACACAATGGCTTCAAGCAAGCCACTACCGCTGCATGCACACGACACATGTACTGGAAAAATGCATTTTAATGTGACTCCCAGCCTGAAGGACTGACATTAATTAAAGGTCAAAGGGTAATAGTATAATATAGAATATAATATTACACAGATGGCGTGAAGCAGCCATCCTACTTGATGCCAGCAGTTCAATGTTTTCCAAAACAAGCTGATGTTATCTTGCTTTGTGGCATCCGGTGTTTTTCACATTTTTGTCTCTTTTTGTTGTTCTCCATGTTCTGAAGATTCTTCTACAGGATAGACGCAGTGTGCTCCTTTACATGTGGAAACTGTAGTATGGTCTACACATGCAGCAGAATGAGGGGGAAGAGTGGACTGTACTGCTTCCAGCTGCAAATGGAGTATGATATTTCTGAATGTTTATATTACATTATAAAAAACCCCAACTGTGAAAACACTTAGCACAGAAATCCTTGTACGTTTTTCTGATATCTTGTAAGTTTCAGATGGGCTACTAGGCTGACAATTCATCCAATTCTCTATGTATAAAATGTAAAAAATGTAAAAAATATACTGTAAAAAAACACTACAGTATATCTGTTTGTTCATTTATTTTACTTAACACAACTTAATTCCCAAAAAATGTGTTTAACCCAAGAATGTATTTTGTTTTTTACTTTGTTATGTTTTTCTGTGTTTCTGTGTTTTCTCGGTGGTTTAACATTTTGTTAAACCGATCCCTCCAGTCTCTACCATCTCGTAGATTTGATCCCAAAGTTGCCAGTCCAGCTTGGATCATCCTTTTTATCCTGCAACAACCTATAGTTTAAACTATCGTTGTCTTTCGTAATAAGTTGTACTTTCTTTTATTCTAGGCACTGGTCTCTGTCCAGTTACTGATTCCCCCTAATACACTTGTGCCCTACTGTAAGTGTAATTTACCATTTAGCATAACATGACTCTTAGCTAAAGGCCCTGAATTATGAGATAAAAGCAGTAAAAGGAATTTTGTAAGATATATTATCTCTGGAATTTCCCCCTTCTCTGAAGCACAAGTGGAGAATCTGCATGCTGAAAAAGGCCAAATGTTATTTTAAAATAAGTTTCCTTCCCACATGATTGCTGTAAAAAAATCTGAAAAAGTGAATTGCCTATGCTTTTTCTTCAAGGTTTCTTCAGTTAAAGAAAGATGCTTTATCAGCATTTTGAATCCCAGCCAAAGTGTGCCCCAATTACATTTTAAGCTTGCACAGGCACAGACTGTACCTACATGGGAACATACAACAAGAAGCTGAACTTGTTTCTCTTTGACAGAAGGATGCTGGGCTTATGGCCAACATACATCATTCATATACATCATTAATTCTGTAGAGCTTAAAGTTACCGGCAATGCACCCCTTAAAATCAATTGCAAAGCATTCATTTAAACATTTCCCATAAGCCCAGAATTTACTGAATAAGGGATGGTTTTCTAATTGTTTGGAAAGATGAACCAAATACACCATATATGGTCTGTTCAGAATATTTTTATTCAATGGGACCAAAAAATGCAACCTACAAAACTTCCAAAAAAAAAGGTTTGTTATAAATGCACCCATTTGGTTTCCAAACATTAGTTTTTCACAAAGCCAAGATGTTGCAAAACCTATAGACCAGAAATTATTTGCTACTAGGAAAATTACTAATAAGGACTTAATACAACCAAAAAGATTCTCAGGAGCTGGGTGTTAATTGGAAGGTATTTCCTGAACAATCCAGCCAGGATGCTCTTAGGCTAACTTGGGACTGCCAGGAATACGCTTTTATTTGTTGCTTGGTCCCACTTCAGTTCTGCAAGGAACTTATCATGGTTAGTGTGTGGAGCCATATTAAACTTGTGAATAAAATGCCTCAGGGATGTGATGTTCCCACACCAACAGCACGGGAGGTTTTGGAGCCCGGTGTGCTTGCAAAACTTGCTTGGTAGACTTTTCTTTTTTCAAGAACTACCAGGGTTTTTCAGCTGCAGTAGGAACATAGAAAGCTGCCTTATGGGAAGACCAAAGGTCCGTCTAGTTCAGTATTGTATACACTGACTGGAAGCTGTTCTCCAGCATTTCAAACATCCCTACCCAGAGATGCTAGGGACCGAACCTGGGACCTTCTGCATGCCAAGCAAATGCTCTACCACTGAGTCATTACTTTCTGCAGGTGTGTATGAACCTGGCACCAACTCCAATCTTAGCACTTCAGGAGCTGGTAACCTTGAGCTTCACATATTCGTTGGAGCTGCTGAAGTGTCCTTATGGATATAAAAGCACAAATAATATTTTCATGGAGGCGTTGTTTCTTCCCAATGAGCTAGACCCTTAACAAATAGTCCAATGGACCCCGAATACTAGAAAAAAATCGAAATAAGCCATTTGTAGATATCTCACCCACTTGCAGCAAGGAACTTGAAAATGATGGAACTGTTCTTACTTTAACTAGGAAACTGAGCTTTGGTGCACACAGAGTCTGGTACCCTAGTAAGTCTTTAAAAAGAGCATTGGTAAACTTATCCTTCAAAACAGGGGCCAATAAGTGTATGTCCCCAAATTTAAGATATTTTCAGGCCACTGGGGGGGGGGGGAGATAAATTTTGCACATACATAATGCATACTCTTCTTATTTTGGAAAAGTTTTTAAAAGGAAACTTTCTGAATGTAGCTTCCTCAAACTGATGGTGAAATCATACTCTAACATTTATGGGACTTCCAAGCCAGTCAGCTGAAACTTCATATACAACCTATTCCACGCATCACCAAAAAGACTGAAAATGGAGCATATTTAAAACATCAGAGTGCTCTGCAGCAAGCTTTTGCCCAGTTCAAAAAGAACTGCCCTGCATATGCACAGAACCATTTTTTAATTGCCTCAGGAAATAAGAAGTCTTGCTGTGACACTTCCAAACCGGTCCTACAACTCACATATGTAGTTTTGCCCAGAAAGATGTACTGAAAGTGATTAGCTTCCACATTTTGCAGGGAGGAAGTCTAATAATCTATCTCAGAGCAGTCCAACATGTGGCCCTTAAGACCATTTTGGTGGTCCTCAGAAACATCTGATGCTCCACCACCACCAAAGGACTCACAGTGCCTTCTCAAAGTCAGGTAAGCAAGGTGCTGGGCTCTGAGGAGGAGGCCTGGGGGCTCTGACTAGGTCCTAAAGTCCTCCCATCATGTCCTTCCCAAAGCCTAGTTAGTACTTCCCAGCTTTGGGAAGGACCTGGAGGGCTACAGGCCCCTGCCGGAGCCTTGCACCTCCTTCCCAAAGCCCAGTGCCTCACTTATCCAGCCTTGGCAAGGTGGCATGAGGACTGGTGGGGGCACCGAATTTTGGCCCACTGCGTGACAAGGCACTGGGCAGCCCAATATGAAAAGTTGGACTGCCATGACCCAGCTGCTTGGCACTGCACCTCTTTAGTTCCATCATGCCTTTCCCTTTCTTGGTACTTTATTTCCTTGTCCAAGTGAATCTCTCTGTAAGGAATGTTTGGAAAACATTCAAGTTTACATGCACTTTTAATTTCAGGGTTGGCACAGGGGGGGAACAAACAGCTGAGAAAAAGACACCCTGCTGAGACCTGAGTGTCACTCACTGATCTATTCTTCCTTGTGGTTTCTCCTTCTCCCGCCTCCGTTCCAGGCCTACCATTTGTTTATTTATTTAACCAGCCAAGCAAATGGCATCATTAAGCAACAAACAGAGCATTTTCATTTGATCTTTCAGCCATAGTGTGCTCTGTTCTGCTGTCCTAAATTTAATCAGCAACATCTCCAGCTTTGCTCCACTCTGAGACGAATTTATCTGGGAAAATCTTGCATTTGCACTTCAGAGCATACCATAATAATGCAGAATATAAAGGGCACAAGCATTCAGTGTTGGATTGGAAAGCAAACAGCAGGTTTTGAAAGCCCAACCAACACCAAATTAGTTGGACTCCACAGCACAGGGAAAGTAGAAGCTTTCAAATGCAAGAAAATAGGATTACCTATGCACTTGTGAAAATATTTGAAGTTGTCTTGCACTGCAAACTCTGGATACCGTACAAAAAGCACCAGTGTTTATTTCTCCAGCAATTCCGGATAAGTAGAGGGTCCTTCATGAATAAGCATAAGAGATATGCCTGTGTTGAAGTTCCTAGCTTAGGATGTCCACGGTCAATTCTTGGCTGCATGCAGAATTATTTTAATGTTCTTAGTAAGTGCTCTTCAGCTGTTTGACAGACAATAATAATGACTGTTCCAATGGGCCTTAGCAAATACAACCCACACAAACATTACATGTTCAGGTGACTGGGTGGTTGTTTTCAAAAGCTAGTCCAGGCATCTTAAAGTCAGCTGAGAGATTCCTCATCTTCTGGCAATGTCTCATGTACAGAAAGCATGTTCAGTGCTTTGCACATGCATGCACACACAATCATTCTGCTTTTTCCACATTTATTTAAATACACACACACTGTGAATGGCATATTGGGAAATCTCACAGCTGAATATCTGAATACCTCTTTAAACGCACACACTGTGAATCACATACTGAGAAATCTCACAGCTGAATATCTGGAGGCAGGAAACAACCTAACTATTTGGACAACCAGAGCTTTATATATTGACGTAGATCAGCACAAAGGTTATATGTACACTACTGCACAGTGGTAACTGTAAAAGGCAGCCATGGGTTGGAGACAAAAACACTGGGAAAAGATCTCACACCTCTGCTGAAGAACCATCTCATACTTGTGTGAGTCTCGCCACTGATCCTAAATTGGTGTGCAGGGATCCTAAAGTGCAGGACAATGTCTTTTTAAATTGAAAAGGAGGGGTATGAAGAAAAACAGAAGGCAGGGAGAGAGAGAAAGCGAGGGATAAGAGGGCTCATCTACACCAGCTTCTCTCATGCCTAGAAAGCATGTTTCCAAGGGGTTTTCCACTTGTACTGTGCTTTCTAGGCAAGAGTCCCAGTGGTTTTGGTTTTGCCTCACCACTTTCCCTTGGAAAACCCACTCTTTAGCAATAAATCAGAACCAACGGCAACCCACAGAAAACCCAATTCTCATTTGCTCCGATTCAGAGCTAAACCGCTTGTTTTCCTGGGGGAATGCGGTGGGGCATGCAGTGTGGATAAGGCCATAGAGAGACAAAGGTTACATAGTGGGGTGGGTGAGTTGAAAATAATGTCAATTTATTTCACATCTGGCAACCCATGTGCCCCTTTGCTTTCAGAAACTGCATGGGTAGATGAGTCTATAAAGCCCAGGACTCAGAGGGGAGTGGCTTCCTATACAATCATAGAATTGTAGAGTTGCAAGGGCACCATGGGTCATCTAGTCCAACCCTCTGCAATGCAGGAATCTCAACTAAAGCATCCATGTCAGGTGACTATCCAACCTCTTCTTAAAAACCTCCATGGAATAGAAGGAGAGTCCACCACCTTCCGAGGGACTCAGTTCCACTGTTGGACAGCTCTTACCGTCAGAAAGTTCTTCCTGATGAATGCAAGTTTGCACCATCATCCATGTGAGTTCTTTAGATAGGTAAAGATGTGTATCATACTCCTCCGAGTTTCCTCTTTTCCAGGCTAAACATAGCCAGCTCCTTGATTTCCAGACCCTTTAAAATCTCATAAGGCTTGATTTCCAGACCCTTTAAAATCTTGGGTCCCCCACCTCTTCAAATTCCAGCTTGTCAATATCCTTAAATTGTGGTGCCCAGAACTGGACAAAGTACTCCAGGTATGGTCTGGTCAATGCAGAGCAAAACGGTACTATTACTTCCCTTGATCTTGCACCTCACCTGAAGAGACTCCAGCAAAAAAGGTCTGAAAAGCCCTTTGTATACATATACTGTAGTAGGCAAAATGCAACCCTCTGAATCCTTGCCAATTTTTAGTCATCTGATCCTTACTTCCTTTAGGTGATCATAGTTAAAACAAACTATGGTTCCCCAAGTTTGGACATTGCAAGAAAATGAAAACTTCTGCTTCGTAACTAACTGCTAGCTCCTCTTCGTGAATGTAAACAAAGAGGAAATGGGAACACACGATTCTAAACCCTATGAAGATTCATCCTCATGATAAACTATGGTTTATTGTTAAGTCTGAATCCAGGCTTGCTGTCTTTCACTGCTCAAACAATGCAATGCAAAGAACCTACTGACTTTCATATCATGTGGGACCTGTGGATTTATGGTTGCGCAAAACCATGAACAAGACCTCTAGCTGTCACTAAGAGATATAAAACTAAACATACCTTTTAGTGAGTGGCATATCCCAGTTTTACTGATACAAGCTATGGCCAGGTTCACGCTTAACACTGAGACAAACCATAGCTTAAGTATGATCAACCAAATGTCCAGGTTACAGCTGAACCTAGGGTCATGGTTTGTCTTTACTTTGGGAACCAACTCATTCATGCTATGCCATGGTTTGACTTTGTATTGCATTCACACCAGGTCCCTAAAATGTTCCCATAACCTTTGAGAATTCTTGGAGTATAGATGAGCGCCCTGTAGACAAACAAATGGCCAGTGCTCTTCATTAGGAGTACAACTTTTATAAGCATCTGAAGCTTATGATTTTGGTTTTAACACTCAAACGCAGCCATAGAAAAATGAGCATTCAAAATGCATGGGGATCCACCAAGCTGGACAATAAGCACCTTTTGTATTGTACTGCTGTCATTTTCTCCTTTATGAGTACTATATCACATTTCAAAATGAAACGGGAGACTTCATGCTCTGAAACTCAATCATGCGTATTAAAGGAAAGAGCCACAGCTCAGTGGAAGAGAACATGCAAAAACGTCTCTGGTTCAACCCCCGATATCCTCAGGTAAAGCTAGAAAAAACTCTAGCGACTGCTAGTTAGATTAAGGTTACCAGATTTTTTTCAAAGAATCTGAGGACACTTTTTTTAAAAAGAGAGAGAGAGAAAAGTTATTTTAAAAAGTTTTTTTTTTAAAGTAATCTCTTCTGTGATCTCCTCTGTCGTGCAGCCTTCCTCTGGGCCCCGGCCTGCTCTCTTGGAGTGCTAGCTGCCGTGGAGTAGGCTCAGGCCAGTCCTGGGCTTGGCCACATGTCCTTGCCCTCCCATTGCTCTCCTACCTCTCCTCCTCAGCGGTGGCAGCAGCAAGGTCAGGGCTCCCCTCTTTTTGCTCCTTCCTCTTTCACTCTCTTCCTTCTCCTCCTCTCCTCGTGTCGGCTCCGGGTTTTCCTGGCCCCTGAGTGCCGCTGGGCAGTCGGCCAGGCGCTCTTGCTCCCGGCTCGATTTGGGTTGTGGGGGGGGGGATCAGCGGTTCCCCCAGTTGACAAGCCAGCCGTCCCCGGTTCCCCCTCAGCAGTTGTAGTGGCAGCAGCAGTCTCAGCAGCTCATAGCCAGATTGATAGCGCAGTTGGCTCTGGCTGGCTTCAGGAGTTGCTCGCTGCCGTGGCACCCACCATTTTGCCTCGCCAGAAGTCCCCATATGATGTGTCTTGTGCCATTGAACCAATCACACAACATTCATTCCCTAATAATAAATCTATAACAAAATATAAATCCGGGGGCATTAAATGAAATCTGGAGACATTCTAGGGACAGATTTTGTCAGGGGACAGCTTTGTAAATCCAGGGACTGTCCCTGGGAAACAGGGACATCTGGTAACCATAAGTTAGATGGACCAGATCTGACTTTGGGTATAAGACAACTTTCTATATATTTCGATGTAAAGGCCATTTCCCAAAAACTAAGTGCTAGAGATATATAAAATAATACTTGAGGTATTTAGGAGGAGCAACAGTCAAATTTTGAAGTTTTGGGATATTTTAAGCACATGTCCTGCTTTCTGTACCTACTGTCATTGCATATACTGTTGTCGTCATCATCTTTCTTGTCAAAAGTTGAAAATAAATAAATAAACATTAAAATTAAAAAATCTGAAATAAAAAATTAATAGATCTCTCCAGCATGTTGGGGTTCCAGCAAGTTTGTACTGCAGCATACAGTATTTCCTGAACAACAGGAAGTCCTGTGAGGTTGTTTATTGATGCCACAAAATCAGCCTAGAATAACTACATACATCGTCATCAGGTCAGTTCTGTGCCTTACTTCTTAATAAATATGAAGGAGCAACTGAACAAGTATAATATTGTCAAACAGATCAGCCATTCTAGTTTCTTCCCTCCAATTTCCTCCTCCACTTACAATAACTATGGTTACCATTACTGAAATCCATAGTTCATTTCCATGCCACAGTTGGAATGTACACTTTGCAATGGGCTTGGGATTCTGCTGCACAAATTATGGTTTGTGGTAATGCTAAGCAAGCATAGTTTGTCTGATTTGGATTCAGCAGTGAACAAGTTATTGCAAATTAGAAAGTGAAGGAGGGGATCAGGGCATGAGTGCTAAGGCACAACGCACAACCTCAATAGTGGAACCATGATACAACCAGACCACTGCAAAAACAGGGCATCAAGAAGTATGTTTTGTCTTTAGTACCGTATTTACTCTAGTCTAATGCCCCATTGAATCTAATGCACACCTTAATTTTTGCAATGTCATTTGGCCAAAAAAAGTGAGCATTAGATTCGAGTAAATACGGTACAACACAGTAAGCAATCTACAGAGCAGATATTCAAAAATAAAGTTGCAGATTTCTAAGCTGGAGTAGAAATATTTCCCCTGCTATCTATTTCAACTGCAAACAATTTTCTTCTGACATTTCCCATTTTTTGTTCGCTGTTGAAACTGGTTTCATCCTCCAGTATCTTATAGCTAAAAGTTTCAGTGCAGTTGTTGACAATACCTCCCAAACCTTATTAATGGACCAATTGCTGTAATATTCTCTTTTCAGGACCAATCTGTGGGCCTGATTTATGGTACTAAATAAACCATACTTCCATGAGATTATTGGGTTTGGCTGTCTCCAGCGCCTGTGCTAACAAAGCCTGGCAGCCCAGCATTCTATTTGTAAATTACCAGTAACCAAGGAAGCTCATTGTCCTTATAGCATTTGAATCTAGGTTACAGACTTTATGTATCTGTAAATGTTAAAACCATTTTGAATAATAAATTAGCCTTGCCTATGATTCACCCGAGACAGCTTGTAATATCAAAATGTGCTAGAAACTGTATTTTGTTCTAGTAAAATATACATGCTTATGGAAGTTTACAAAACATGCTTCAGTCATGGGAGTGGCAAGACTTTCTATAGATACTGTAGCAAACATCTGATAACAACCTCTGCTAATGCCACAATACAGTCCCATCAGTTCTTATTTTAACGTAAAAGCATTTATCCATTATTTAACTCTTATCCTAGAGTAATAAAAGTCACTTCAGAGCATGCAATAGGATGACAGAGCAAATTATTACAATTAGTACAAAGGGCTACAGAGCAGATTCTAAAGCCGTTCATTAAAAATTCAAAGCAAAGGAAATAAGAATCTCTGATTCATCTCAGTATGGAAGAAAAAAAGCATTCTTTATTTTTACTCTCCTGTTTGATCATTTGCAAAGCTAGAAATTTCAAAAGCTGACCTCAGTAAAAACACCCTTTGCACAATAAGTATTAAAGCAAATATTGTTTAGAGCACTTGCCTTCTCCTTGACCAATGTTAATTCAATATGAATATTTTTCCCATACTAATTCTAGGAACGGTACTCATGAAAACTAAATTACATAAAGTATGCACGATTTAGGTTATTTTCATGGCAATTAAATTTAGATTAGTTCTTTTAAAGGAAAAACAAATCTTATACATGTGTTCAGCATTTTCGTAATAAGCTGCACAAACAAGATTCTTCCTGCAAATGTGCATAACAGGGAGTTTCAAGTTATTCTGGTCAAAATCACTTGTGCTTTACAGTGCCAGAAAAGAGTTAACTGTCCTTAGCATGCATACCACACATCAACAGGCTTGCTTTTCTATAAGCACAGAAACAAACCTGGTCCATATTTCAAAGTTTCTGATGCCTGAGCAAAAGGTGCAAAATATACCAGTAACAAAGCCCTATTTAAGGTTCTTTGCTTTGGGAAAAAAAAGTGCTGTGTGTATCAGAGAAAAGCAACCACCCTAACAGTCACTGCATTAAAATACCCACAACTTAGCCCTTCTCGTTCTTTGCAGTCTCTCATCAAAGCTAAGCAGAGAAATTAACAACAAAGCTCTTGCTAACCTTTAGATGGCTAAGTCCATAGGCCAGAGGTGTGCTTCAGGTTTCTCTGGGAAAGCGCTGGAACAACAACAACAAAAGATTCAGAGTCTTCTTTTCAATTGTTCTGGCTCTCTTTTTTAAAATGTGTAAAAAAAACCCTGATGCACAGAAGGTTTGGTTGTGGGCGGTGGGCTTTTGGGTGGGGAGGGAAGAAGAGGGTGATTTCAACCCACATTTAGCGTGGGAAGAGTTTTAATGGCTCTAGCTGGTAATATGGTTTTCCTGCTACAGTGTCTGTACTACTGCAGCTCTGTGTGGGCGTAAAGAAATGACACGACTGGGTTTCAAACCATTAGAGCAACATTTGCAAACAGATAAAAAAAAAACCATCAGGTACAAATGAAAAAAATCCTCTTTTTTTTCACTTTAAAGATACAGCAGGACTAACAGCCTTTCAATCCATCAGAACCCTCCTTCTGGTCGTGTAAAACACAAGCAGCAGCTGCAATACATAGGAATAGACTTGGTAACTTTTTCATGTAATAAATGTTGTATGGATTACTTCTGTGAGCTCTTTGTTAGGTATTTCAGAAGGCATTTCAGCCATTTGTTCCATTATGCTCTCTGTAGTCATTGCCCTACGTTCTAATTCCAATTCCAATTCCAATCTCCAAGTGCCCTCACTTACATAGCCCAAACAGTAACAGCCCCATACAAAATAGAGGCATCAGCAGACTGAGTGAGGGTAATCTCAAGGTTTGCATAACTGGGGGAGAGGGCCCCTCCAAAGAGAGTCTAGTGAGAACTGAGTGTGCTCATGCTCACAAAGGTAAAGGGACCCCTGACCATTAGGTCCAGTTGTGGCCGACTCTGGGGTTGCAGCGCTCATCTTGCTTTATTGACCAAGGGAGCCAGCGTACAGCTTCCGGGTCATGTGGCCAGCATGACTAAGCCGCTTCTGGAGAACCAGTACAGCGCACGGAAACGCCGTTTACCTTCCCACCAGAGCGGTACCTATTTATCTACTTGCATTTTGAAGTGCTTTCGAACTACTAGGTTGGCAGGAGCAGGGACCGAGCAACGGGAGCTCACCCTGTTGCAGGGATTCGAACCGCCAACCTTCTGATCGGCAAGCCCTAGGCTCTGTGGTTTAACCCACAGCGCCACCCACATCCCTGCTCATAGGATGCTCATGGAATGTTGGCAATTGGGGGGGGGGAGGGATGGGCAATGGAATAGCTGGAAAAGTTGGAAGATGTCAAAAACACAGAAACACACATACACATATAGTGCCCCCCACTCACTTTCTCAATCTAGATAGTCTCCTACATGAAAAGGGAGGCTTCCCCCTCCTCCACCAGCACATACACATACACTTCCTTTGTTGCAGGGTCCCAGTGCTATATACAGTGCTAAAAGTAATTTTAATTCTCTGAGTGCCTGTTCTTATGTAGCCAAAACAGTACTATCCACAGAGAGAGAGGTATCAGCCAGCTTACTGGAAGAAGCTCAAAGTTTACAGAAATACAAAGAATATTTAGGAAAAAATCTCGGGGGGGGAATCCCCCTTCCCCCCAAAAAAACCACAATTGAGGACTGAGCATGCCCAGTGGTCATAGAATGCTGAGGACTGGAGGGGGGCATGGAATCTGCGTATCCTTGAAGAGGGCAGGGTTTCAACCAGCAATGATCAGGGATGTTGCAGGTCCCACGTGCATAAAGATAATTTTTAAAGAATGATGAAGTTTTTCCACTTGTGAACAAAAGTGAACTACACAAATATTTATTGGATAATATAAAATAATACTTTTGAAATTTGAATTAATGAAACCCTCAACACTCCTCCATGGCTGCAGCAGGCAAAAATATTGTTCTTCAACAAGGCCTTTGACTGATTAACATCTGATACCCTTTTAAATATGTTTGTGAGATGGGATGGGGTTTGTTTTTGTTCTTGTTTTTATTATGTATTTTATCTTGTATTTCAATGTTGTGAACCACCCTGGGATCAAAAAGAGCAGATAGCTTGTAACCACAAAGATGAAAGGAAATCAGAAACAGAAGCAACTAACAGTTCAAAAACCAAACCTGAATTTCTATGTTAAGCTCCCAGGAAATGGTGCAGAACAGGTGTAGAGTAAGGACGTTATTGGGGGGAGCTAGCCCGCAACATGCATTTATATAAATATCCTCAAAGGTCTAGATTAGAGTGTGCCCCCAATCCCACAAAAAATATTATCTCAGACTAAGAGTAGCTTCCCCAAAGTGAAGCAGCTGTGTCTACAGATGATGAGGAATGGAGCCCATTATTTTTTTAAAAAACACTTTATAGAGTTCTTCATTCAAATTTCTAGTGGTGAAATGTGTATCAATGCCATTTATAACAATTGTGAGAACATTTCGAGTGTGCAAGTCTCTGAACCCGAAGTCCATTTTACTGCCTCAGAGTTCTGAGGTATTTAATCCAATGTCAGGACTGCAATGACTCAACGTGATTTCAGACTGAGAGGACAGTGACTGTTCCCCCTCTCACACAGAGGCAAGTTCCTCCACTATCTTTGTAAATTGAGAGTATAACTTAATCCAACTTTCAGCAGTGCACAGAGAATCATACCATTTCCATTCTGCGCATGAGGAATTGTGTTTAAAAAAGCACCTGAAAATTCAAACGAAGCTTGAAGTGTTCAACCAAAGGTGCTAGCTTTGTACCTGGTGGGAGTTTTTTAAATGGGAAGAGATATATTTCATCATGCAGTCTCTCACTGATATATCTCAGGTGGTACAATTTCATTAAGACTATCACATGGCCTTGTCAAGTCAAAAATTAAATTCCTTCTTATGGTTCTGTTTAGCGTACAGTCATCATATTCCCTCATTTTAAAAGTCTTCTGGAAAACATTTTGTTATTATGATTACACTTTCTGGATATTCTAAATCAATATACAACTGCTCTCTACTGCAGACGCTGTTCAAATAGCCCCTTCAACTTTATTCCTCTCAACCACTCTCCCCCTCCCCTTCCTCCTTCCCTTCCAGCTCCCCCATCTACATGAAATCAGGTCAAGAGCTGCATGTGACTCTTGGAACACAGGGCTGGAACACAGGGTTCCTAGCCCTGGAATAGATGAAGTTGAAACTCCACAAGATGCCTTATTATTCAAAGCAACAAATCTCACATGTACTATGCTGCTAGTGTTCAGCTGCTGCACAAATAATTACCTGTCAAACTCTTTTACGGCATCAAATCAATGCATACATGCCACTTTATCATAGCCACCAGACTGGCACAACCACAGAGTTGTAATGGTTTGTCTGTGGAATTTGGCATCCAAACAGGATTTAGGAATGACATAGGAATCTGCCTTATACCATAGGTCCATCCAGCTCAATACTATACAGTGACTGGTAGTGGCTCTCCATAGTTGTTTATCAATCCTTTCCAGGGAATTTTGGGAATTATAGCTCTGTGAGACGAATGGGGGTCTCTTAAAAACTCATCATCCTTAACAACAGTTCCCAGGATTCTTTGGGGGAAAGCCATGACTGTTAAAGGGATAAAACTGTGCTTTAAATGTATTGTGCGGATGTGGCCATATACGCCACTGGATCCAACCCTTGGAAAACATTCATCAAGCTCAGCAAGCTCATCAAGAACAGGAAGCAGAGAATAGGAATAAAATCAACAGTTCTCACAATGAAAGGATGAAAAGTTTTAATAGCACTGGAACCAACAAAAGTTGCTAGTTGCCATTAAAGAGCAAATTATTTTGCTACAAATATCCATTGTCTTGGATTTGCTGTCAAGCTCACTAGGATTCAAGGAATCATAAATACTCACTTTCCCTCCCTTCACCCACCCCAATTTGACGAATCACTGCAATTAAATATAAGAAAGAAAATTTCAGGCTCTCGCTAACTAATCTAAAGCAACCTAATAGGTGAAGCATCTTAATTCCATTACACTGGCATCTTGAGTATTTTCACTCTCCCATTGACACACTAATAATTCTTTGTACTCCTACAGCTCATAGCACTTCATGAATCAAGGTCTCAGAGCACTTCATGAATAAAGATTATTTTTTACCACTTGTGTTCTGCACATGCATAATCGAATAATGGGTTCTTGAAAAGTAGAGTCCTTGCTATTATCTGTTTATAAGAGTGTTAATCTGAAAGAATAGAAACACTGTTAACTATTATTATACAAAAAAACATCATAAAATATTCCTTCCAGTAGCACCTTAGAGACCAACTAAGTTTGCTATTGGTATAAGCATTCTTGTGCATGCACACTTCTTCAGATACCCATGCATGCACACGAAAGCTCATACCAATAACAAACTTAGTTGGTCTCTAAGGTGCTACTGGAAGGATTTTTGTTTGTTTGTTTTGACTACAGCAGACCAACACGGCTACCTACCTGTAATCATAAAATATATCCACAAAATCAGGTATTCCCATGATTATCATCAGTGTAACTTCCGGGGGGGGGGGGGGGATAAGTTTTTAATTGCTGAGCAGAAATGAAGCATCTTTGTGAATCTTGCTGGAAATGAGGTTATAGTTCCCTTTTGAGTTCACTTTACCTTTAAAATAAATAATTGTATTTCCATTTAGAGAATCGAAAATATATTAGCAAAGAGGACTACATAAAAACTTTCTACCAGCAAACAGAATAAACAGTCCTGGCAAAACTGATAGTTGTGTGCATAGGATTAAAGACATAGCTAGCAAAGACACTTAACTTGCTCAAAACTGCAAAGAATTTTGCTTGGCAAAAATTCAAAGCACCATGGAAACAAATGAAGTCACTGGCACCAAATAAGCCCACCCATTCTAACATGTCTTTATGGAGAATGTATTGAAAAGATTTGGAGAAACAATATCATTACTGTATACAGACGAACTGATCTACATTTAGCAGTGGCCAAACCTGTTCCAGGTCATGCCTATCTTGAAAAACCTAGAGCCAGTTCTCAAAAGGGAACGGCATCCATGCAATCTCTCCTGGAAGTCACAAAGATGAAGTGGTGCTCCACTGTTAACACTCCATGATCTCCAATCATGGTATGATGACAAACCAGATCCCATGGTACCAATTTAGCTGCAGTTGCACAAGCAGAAGTTTCAGCTACTGAAACAGGATTGGAGACAGCACCTGCCATGTTTGGATAAGTGAATTTTCATATAACAAGCATGTGGATGGCAGGCCCTTTTTTGAATCAAAGAATGTCACAATGCCGCAGTTCCCATGGTCCTAAGTAGGCAGCCACACCAATGATGACAGAGCAGCAGGCAGGCAGGCAAGCAGTGGGCCCAGATGAGCTGCAAAGGAACAGCTAAGGCAAGCCAGGGCAGCCCCTGAGCAATCTTACTGCTCTGCTGCTGCTGCATACCTCGTTCCAGCAACACAGTGTCTGCCCCAGCAGCATCAGGTGTCAAGGAGGAAGAAAATGGCAACAAAGCAGGCCTGTCAATGGAAAGCTGCCCCAGCAGGCAAGCAGCCTTGGTCATGAGGAGGTAACCAGAGGCAGGCAGGTGGATCAGTGTGCAGTGGGCTTTGCAACCCTTCCTGCTTTCCCTGTCACTGCCAGTGGTTGCTTTGGGAGATAAGGTATGAATGAGTAGGCCAGCAGATTGAGTGGGGAAGACAGGTGGCTGAAGCAGGCTTTCCCATACCTCCTCTTCTGTCTCCCCTTTGCCAATGAAACATGGAATCTCCAGTACACAAATGGAATATGCCCATTCTCAACTTTCAGACAGTCCCACATTCAGTGTAACATCTGTGACCGCTCTGGACATGCATTTATTTAGACTAGTTAGTCACTTGTTACTTGAAGGTCTGAAAACAACTTACAATATATTTAAAAACAAACATAAATTATAACATTAAAATATGGCAAGTTCTTAAAGAAATGGGAGTGCCTGATCACCTCATCTGTCTCCTGAGAAATCTCTATGTGGGACAAGAAGCTACAGTTAGAACTGGATATGGAACAACTGATTGGTTCAAAATTGGGAAAGGAGTACGGCAAGGCTGTATATTGTCTCCCTGCTTATTTAACTTATATGCAGAATTCATCATGCGAAAGGCCGGGCTGGATGAATCCCAAGCCGGAATTAAGATTGCTGGAAGAAATATCAACAACCTCAGATATGCAGATGACACAACCTTGATGGCAGAACGTGAGGAGGAATTAAAGAACCTTTTAATGAGGGTGAAAGAGGAGAGTGCAAAATATGGTCTGAAGCTCAACATCAAAAAAACGAAGATCATGGCCACTGGGCCCATCACCTCCTGGCAAATAGAAGGGGAAGAAATGGAGGCAGTGAGAGATTTTACTTTCTTGGGCTCCATGATCACTGCAGATGGTGAAAGCAGTCACGAAATTAAAAGACACCTGCTCCTTGGGAGAAAGGCGATGGCAAACCTAGACAGCATCTTAAAAAGCAGAGACATCACCTTGCCAACAAAGGTCCGTATAGTTAAAGCCATGGTTTTCCCAGTAGTGATGTATGGAAGTGAGAGCTGGACCATAAAGAAGGCTGATCGCCGAAGAATTGATGCTTTTGAATTATAGTGCTGGAGGAGACTCTCAAGAGTCCCATGGAGTGCAAGAAGATCAAACCTATCCATTCTGAAGGAAATCAGCCCTGAGTGCTCACTGGAAGGACAGATCCTGAAGCTGAGGCTCCAATACTTTGGCCACCTCATGAGAAGAGAAGACTCCCTGGAAAAGACCCTGATGTTGGGAAAGATTGAGGGCACAAGGAGAAGGGGACGACAGAGGACGAGATGGTTGGACAGTGTTCTCCAAGCTACCAGCATGAGTTTGACCAAACTGCGGGAGGCAGTGGAAGACAGGAGTGCCTGGCGTGCTCTGGTCCATGGGGTCACGAAGAGTTGAACACGACCAAGCAACTAAACAACAACAACAACATTAAAATAGTTCATACAAACACCTACCTTTCATTCAAACACACACAGAGCTGTGTATACACTATGTATAAACTGTACACCCTGTCTGCAGCAAAAACATGTAGTTTTCTCATTCCATAATCATTCATTCAATCTAGTGTACTTGTAACAGAATTGGTGCTATATGAACTGTTCCTCTCAAATCTGTCAACAGTCAGACAGCCCCATTCTGCACTAATAGAAGCATCCAAACTCTTTTCCAAGGCAGCCCCATATAAAGCACGTTGCATTAATCCAATCTTGGTTAGTAGATTGTAGCCCAGTTATCACTGTAGCGCAGTTATCCCTGTCCAGATAGGGTCATGGTTGGGCCACCAGCCTAAGCTTATGGCACTCTATACCACTGAGGCTACCTGGGTCTCAAGTGACAGAAATGGATCAAGGTGAACCCACAAACTACAAACCTGATCCTTCAGAGGGAGTATGATCCCCATCTAGAGCAGGCAACACAACATTCAGCTGGAAAAAGGAAAGTTAATTTAAAGTTAGCAGGAAAGCCAAACCTACCCAGGAGCATCTTGTGTGCACCTAAAAACATACGAAGTCAAAACATCTAAACTGACATCAGTTAAATTAATAGATAACACTTTGTTTCATAGTGAAAACAGTCATTAGTACAGCAGGTGCATTCATGAGTTGCCCACTGTTTCACTTATATCCCTATGGTAAAGACAGGCAGCTAATTGTTCCTCAGCAACTATACTGCATTTCAAAAAAGGATCACATGTGCACACATTCCTTGCTATGGTAACAGCACCTGCACAACAGCCTACTGTGACTTCTCTTATCACATCTGCAAATCTTTTTTTCTGCATGTAGCCATTTACAGCACACAGACTTTTCATGGCAGCTAGAGTACTGTAACTCAAGAGCAAGCACAGTAATTCTGTGCTTCCTGTATCACTCACCCTACTGTGCTCACCGAGCTCTTCTTTCCACGGAGGTTTAAATTTTTATTTCACAAAAATTCAACAAACAGCAAAGCAGCCTGCAACACAATTACTACATATTTTTCAGTATTTTAAAACTTAAAAACTGAGACAAGGTTGAAAAGGTGATGTATACGTTTTAAATAATTGCCAATTCCATATTAATAGTGTGTGAAGTGTGTGAAGAATACTGCACAAGACACAAAACTGGCACAATTCCTGCTCAGATGGCCTATATTTGCTTCATTCTTAATAAGTCACAGGACATTTAAAATAATGGTTTAATCATGAAAGTACCTCCCTCCTGCCACATAGGTTCACACTGCTCCAACACGTCATGATTGGACTGGGGGGTTCATTTGTTCCCAACAATCCATGAGGTCAGAAAAAACTGAACTTAAAAGAATACAATTTTGTACCTACCCACGCATCTGTTTCATTTACTTCGATTGGGCTTTTAGTGCACATCCGCTAGTGGAGAACTGTGTATAAGTAAGAGAAAGATGACAGGAAAGGCCAAAATGAACTGAACAAAAATTATGATTAGTCACTGCAAATTTAGGAAGTAGTTGCTTATAGACTAAGATGTCAGTTTTAGAGGCATGAATGGGAAGGGTCTGGGAGTAGAAAGAATATGGGTTTGCACTGAGAATGGAATGGATTGACAAGAGTCTGACTTATGATTATTTCTACATATAATGTGCAAAAAGGAAAACTTACCTGAAGCACACCAAATTATGGTCAAATCTGGCCAGGATCTTGCATTCTCATTTGCTTTCTTGAAGCCCCATCCAGATGCCAAAGAGTTTAGAACTACTCTTCTCATAATATTTTCCCCGCTCTTTACTTGCTATCTCAAGCGAGGTAAGAAGCCATCCCAACCCACACTATCTATGAGTGCTGCATCCTTCAACCTCAGTTTTTATGCATGTCTGTTTTTCTCAGTTGTCAGGGAAACACTACAATTTCTATTGTTGCAGCTTAGCATCTAGATCAGTATTACTACAGACAAAATGGTTTAGAAATATAAAGGCAACTCATTTAATTTCACTGTTTGCCTAGAGGCCAGGAATCATTCTAACATCTATGCAATCTTCTTCCATTATTAAAGAGTTGAAAGAGCTTAAGTTCACAGAAAAATTGTTTGAATGTTTCAGTCTATATGAAGCTTTTTTTTTTTTTTTACATATAAGCAATGCTGTCTATTTTAAGCCTGTAATTTAATCCAAATAACATAACACATATGAAAGATGTTACCATGAAACTACCTTTTCCAAAAGCAAACACATATACATTTCAGAAAGCAGATTCATTTTATTTAATAAGTAAAAATTAAGTCAGAGCTGTCTCATACTGCGTACTAACTGCTAACCAAGGTGATGTATCATACAGTCATAATAATCTGACTCAGTATCAGGGAATTTTGGAAGGTTCACTATTACAAATTCCTCCTCCCCTTTCTCCTTACTCATGTTTAGTGATACTCTCCCTCCTTTTCTGCTTTGAAACAAACCCCAGCTTACCACTGCACCCAAATCAACAAGCCATGATTTGTTCTTGATCAGAAGCCATGGTAAAACCCTGAAGTTTCTAAGATAATAATAATAATAATAATAATAATATCTGGGCAACACACATTCTCCCCAACCTAACCCCCCGCTTCCAGACTGAGAAGGCTTGAGTGGGCTAATTCTTTCTCCTCTCCTCTCCCCAACCCCAACCCCTTCAACATTCTGTACCTCTTGAAACCATCTTATTTTGGGGTGGCCCCATTTGACTTCCATGCCGATAGCAAATCCAGGTCAGAAAGGCCCATTATATCTGAAAACAGAAAACATCTGCATTTTGAAATCCATTTTTAAATATAAAATTCAAGTTGCATTGTATACATTCATAGAAATACATATGGGAATCCCCCAAAGCACAGAAGTGTATGGTGTCATGAACAAAGATGCTTGTGCCTCACTGACTGAAAGTAGCAAGAAATTAAGATACTTCCCAATAGACTGTAAACCAAATGTACACTTACTCAAATTTACCATAACTAGGAAAGTCTAAAAATGGGTTCTTTTCATCTCTCTGAGACTGGGAGCTAGGTCTCCCAATAACAGAAGCCAGCAAAGCGAGCCAAAGCACAGATGGGAGACAATATTGGCCTGTAGGAGTTTCACCTTCATATACTTCAAGCGGCCTCTGGGCCAATTCAAAACATGCAAATGTGTGCTTCACTTCCTAAATTGTACAACTGAGGTTGCTGGTTTGAGAATCATATGTTTGAATGATCCATCAGGAAGAAATTCCCCAAACACAGAAAACTAGATGATCAGGAAGGAAGGTTCAACTGCTTTTCACTTGTGTAAAAGCTTCCTTCACAGGATGACATTTTTTTACACATTCAAACACTGTCAGAAGTGGAACAGCCAGCAGCAATGAATATTATTTCTGCATATTTAGGAACATAGGAAGCTGCCTTATACCACGGCCAGACAAGTTATCTGTCCAGTCCAGCTCCATTTTACTCTATTCAGTGGCAGAGCTTCATGCTCCGGCACTGGGAGGTGGAGAGCAGGCGGGAACGGGGCTGGCGCGCATCCTGGGGGCGTGGTGCACTGTTTGCGCGGGCTGGGGGGCAGCTGCAATGGCACTTTGCTGGGATCGTGCTGCCGGGGGCGATGCGCTCCCCCCGCACTCCTCTTCCTCCACCAGTGACTCTATTCTGACCAGAAGTAGATTGCCAGGGTCTCAGGTAGTGATCTTTGCATTACCTATTGCCTAATCCTCAAATGGAGAGATGCCAGGGTTTGAACCTGAGATCTTCTGTTCACAAAGCATGTAGTGAGTGATGGTCCCTCCCTGGTTCTTAATTTGAGGAGGAAGATTTGCAGTGAGCCAGGAACATAAATATGCTTGAAGCATACAAGCTATATTATTATAACTGCATATATAATCAGATGAAATGTGAAACAACAAACCCTTGTAAGGATACCTATATACACATGATTGTACAGTATCTCAGTACTCAAGCATACACAATTTTACCAGGCTTGTATATGACCATATTGTAAAAATTCTGTCACTTTTTTAGCTTTCATGTAGTTATCAGTTGTCACAGTAACACTAAGATTCTCCCTTTTGCACTCTAATGTCTAGAACTATGTTTCCATAGTTACAGAGAAACCTTAGTAATTCGGCTGAGATTTATAACAGCATTTATTTTAACTTATCACTACCAGCAATAGCTACGGTATGTTTTACAAAAGATGTCATCAACAGCTTGGGGGCCAGCTGATAGCACTAGCTAAAGAATGAGGAAAGGGCAATCTCGCCTCCTCTGTTAAAGCATTGCACAGCTGAAAATTTAAAATATTAGCCATTAGAAGAACCCTGCAGGATTTGATGCATGACTCAGCTAATTATCCCATAAAGAGAGCCCTGCAAGATCAGATCAAGGGTCTACCTAGCCCAGTGGGAATTATTTTTGAAAGGTATGTATAGGGTTACACTGTTCAACATCATTTAAAAGACGGTACTGTACACAAGGTACATAAACTCCTAAAGAATCTGGCAATCCATGATAACTTCACAAGTGGCAGGGAGTGGTCCCCCAACAGCAGCACTACAAGCTGCTGCAAAATGGAGGAACTACGACTCAATGCACTTCTCAGTACAACAAGGTGCATTATGTCTCCTTGTTCACTCAGCTGTAGACTGAAACAAGAACTGATACCTGCATGGTATTTCTCTATGTGTCACCCAGCTGTACTTTGTGAAAGCATGTCCATACTAAAGAAGATTTACAGTTGTTCATGTATTTTATTCCGCTTGTTGCTTTCAGGTCTTAAAATGTACATGGCTCAGGTATTTTATATATTGAGCAGTATAGAAATTCATACAAATAAATAAACCAACCCCAATACAACGCTCTCACACTTACCATGGCATATATACTTAGAGAAAGTGAGATCAAGAAACAAGTGTCTTATGTCTGAAGTATTGGCATAAGAAGATGAGGCCTTTTAGCAGGGACTTTGAAGAACTTAACAGAGATTTATAATGTGCCAAAAATGAGTTATCTTTGTCAGCCAAATGATCAGAAATAGTTTCAGGACAAAGAAAGTATTCATTTGTACAATACAGTGATACCTCAGGTTACGAACTTAATTCGTTCCGGAAGTCCGTTCTTAACCCAAAACTGTTCTTAACCTGAGGTGCGCTTTTGCTAATGGGGCCTCCTGCTGCCGCCACACTGCCAGCATGCAATTTCCGTTCTCATCCTGGGGCAAAGTTCTCAACCCGAGGTACTACTTCTGGGTTAGCGGAGTTTGTAACCTGAAGCGTTTGTAACCTGAGGTACCACTGTATATAATTAACTTACAAAATCCATTACTATGAATCATTTAGATACCTTAAAAAAGGATCAGACTAATTTGTACAGGACAAGTTTATGTTATTAATAGGTAGCTGTTCAAAAGCAGTACACATCCAATTAGTAAGAAGTTTAAGAAGTTATTTGGCTGGGGTAGTCACACAAAACATGGGTTCACAGCACAAAACTATGGCATCAGTTTTGGGGGAATCCTGAATTTTGGGGTCACAAGTTAATGAAGCCCTAAGGAGGCTGCAGAAAGAGACTCTGTTGCGAATATGACAAGGGCAGAACTTACAAGTCTATTAGCAAATCAACAGGAGACACTTAAGGATTTAATTAAGACCCTGCTGTGCCCTATGGAGGAGCTATTTCAGGGATTTAACACCAAGCTTGAAGCTCTGACAGAATCTACAACAATGACAAAATTACAGGCACATGATGAAAAATTTACCCGTCTTCACAGCTGAAGATATGGAAATGAGAAATAGACTAACGGATTTGAAGAATAGTTCTAGAAGATATAATCTTTGTTTTTATTTTTTAAAGAGTAAGCTAAAAAGGGGGGCTCCACACAATTTATTGTTTCATAGCTAACAACAATACTCCCCAATTTGAAACTATATATGGCTGATTTGGAGTGTTTCTATAGAGTGCATTGCTCCAAACCATGAGACAAAAACTGCAAACTAAATGGGAGCAATTCAAATAGCCAGACTACTCTGCCACCAATTGCAAGCTCCTCTATCCAACCCAACTGTAAAAAAAACACACAGCAACTAGCCCCTGAGAAACACCTCCCAACCACAGGAGGACAATACAGAGGGAAAGTTTCTGCAATCCATAAAATACTACTCCAAGACACCGTACATTTCCCCAACACAATTAATTAAAGAACAATGGGAACCAGATTTAGGTCAAGAAATAGATTCAACCCAATGGTCCATCACACTGTCAAAATCACCCCTTAACTCAATTTTGCCAGCAAAAAGGAGCTCACACTACAACTCAACTATAGATATTTAACTATAGATTATATTTAAATCACTCAGTAAAACATAGGAGTAATGTACAGGTCCACCTTCTCCTGTATCATTCTGCACCCACCCTCAAACTGGTTCTTTAGCATGCATTTGTCACCCATACAACGTGTATACATTTGACAAGCAATGCTCACCTTTTGTGGTTTCCAGTCATTTATTTCTTCCCCGAATCCCATTTGCAGCCTCAATGTAGCATACAGGTGACTTGCTGTCCATAATATTTATATCATGGCATGCATGTGGGTTCACTATGCTGGGAGCATCCAGCATATGCAAAGAACTGCTTGGGGCTATGATGCTTCCTTAGCAGGCTTACACAGCAAGGGTAACCAATATGGTTGACTAAAACTTTCATTATCTCTGCTCATTGGCTATGCTGGCTGGGGCTAATGTGAGTTGGGAATGCAACAACACAAATCAACTTAAATGTAAGAAATTTGGGTAACATAGTACTAACAAGTCTAGTAAGACTCAGTGGCAGCTACATTGGTGTATTTGTCATATTGACAGCAGCAGAAATACACTTGTGTAATTTGGTAATTGACTCACTCCATTAGTAAAATCTTAAAATAATTTTAAATAGGAGAATTACATTATGCGTAATGCTCAAGGCAGGTATTATACCATCAGCTTTGCAATACAGTGGTGCCTCGCAAGACGAAATTAATTCGTTCTGCGAGTTTTTTCGTCTTGCGAAGCACGGTTTTAACGGTATTAACGGTTTTAAGAAAAAGGAAACAAACTCGCAAGACGTTTTCGTCTTGTGAAGCAAGCCCATAGGGAAATTCGTCTTGCGAAGCAACTCAAAAAATGAAAAACTCTTTCGTCTTGCAAGTTTTTCGTCTTGTGAGGCATTCGTCTTGTGAGGTACCACTGTAGTTGGGTATAGTTAAAGTATGAAAAATCTCAGAAAGATAAACATTTCTGGAAGTTCAGTCAGAGTGCACCATAAATATGTACAAAAATGCAATGGATTACTCATCAGCACATAGTCAGTTATACAAGAACACTAGTTAAGATTGACTTTCACAAAAGTTTATGTCTGTCACCACGGAAACCAATTCTGCATTACTATTTAGCACCCTCTAGTGTGCGGTTGTTATGTGGCATATTTCTTTTATCAGTAAGAAATCAATTAGGTAATCTGCTTACCGTAACAATATTTGGAAAAAGGAACGGGTCATGAGAAGAAAAAAGAAGCCATATCAAGAGATTATTAATGCTTGATGGTTTCATACAAAATACATGTATCTGGAAGACACGGTACACTGACTTGCATCACAGCATGTTAGCAGCTCCTGCATATAGATACAAGCCCATGTATATTTTTTAAGATGAAAACCTAACACCAAGAATGTTCAGATAGAGCAAAAATTAGTAGTTAAATAACAAGACTCAAGATTTAATATAAAGTAAAAATCTAGTTATCCCCAGAAGTTTAAATTAAAGCTCATGATACCCTGTTGGATAATGCAAATATCATTTGAATTAGACAAATAAAACAAATCCACCTTTCGTTACTTCTTTACAAGTTATATATTGTTTCTTATAAAAAGCTATACATTAAACAAGAGAGACAAGCAGCATGGTAGCCAAAGGGACTGTATGGTTCCCATCACCTACCCACACTTTCAGTTCTTCCATATTTTCAAATTTATGAATGATGGTCCTTTAGTGAAGAATGCTGACAAGTCTTGTATATCTATTGTTCTGAGGTCAGCATTATTGTACACATCACTTTTTTCTGACTTAAACACAACAGATAATTATTTAAAGTACAAATATACCCAGATACTTGAGATCACAGTTAAATAAATCATAACTGTATGTGAAGAACAGCATCAAAGTAACAGAACCTGTTAACAGCTATTTTGCAAAGTTAGTCCATTTCCAGCAAGCATCACTTATGCAGAGGCTTGGATTAGACAGATACTTGAACATTTACACCACTGAATTAAAAACTAATTGTTTTCGTTTTAAATCAAAACAATTGTGTGTGAAGAGTTTTAGCTATTTTGGTTCTTATAACCCCTAACATGTAAGCCATTATTTAGAAAAAATTATACTGCTATGAACATTATTTTTACAGATTGCTGACAAGTTATTAGACATTATTTTGAAAGGTGGGATCTAATACTAAACTGTGGGACAGGATAGCTAGGGCTTCTTTACAAAAAACTGCGGAAATCAGTGTCTGTCTCTTTCTTACAAACTGGAAAAGGCTCCCAACCATCATGAGATTTCAGCCAAGGCTTGGAACAAGCTCTGTTTAAGGCCTTGTCCAGCATAACACACTCATTTTAATCAGCAGGCAGTGCAACCCACCTGTCCACCTTCAATAGCATAGGATTATCACAGGCAGCAACTGCTCATCCTTTAGGTCATTGCACTAATAACCGGAGGTTTGGAATAATGCTAATTGATAATGCCTGTCATCCTTCATGAATTTGTCTAATTCCCTTTTCAAGTCACCTAAATCAGTGGGTCTAATCAATGCTTGGATGAAGGATCGTCCTAGTGTATCATCCTACACTGCCTTCAGTTATACTTAATAGTGATAGGATACAAGTGTTATAAATAAGGCTTGTGGAAGTGAATACATTCAGTTTATATGCTAAATACAAAATGGAATATTTAAGAAAACAAATGAAGCCCATCCCACTTCTGAGGAAAAATGCAGATTACAAAAGCACTTTTTAAAAATCTATGGTTGATAAGTGGTATTTAAAGCCATGTGCATCTCAAACTTGATTAGAAACTGCTGCCAAATTTGGTGCTGGGGACAGGACAGGTGAAAGCATGTTCAGCAATGAGATACCCTCTGGGTCTTCTGCAGATATACTGAACCAAGATAAAACTCAAGTCTATTTTATTGTGGTTTTAACCTTCTGTATGTTTTAAAATTACAGTTGTAAAAATTTTAGTGGTCATGTTATTGTTTTGCTATCTTTTTCTGGAAACAGCTTTGAGATTTTTTTCCTACAATCAAACTGGTATAGAAACTTTATTAAACAAACTTCTTATGACGAAAGGTTCTAGAACTCTTTAGGAGGTAGCGTGGTCCAAGTGGAAAAAAGGAGGGCACTTATTAGCTGTGTTTAAAATAAAAAAAAATTAAAAGGCGATTTCAGCAGGGGTACCTTGCACTGACAGCTTCTGGCGTGAGCAACCCATCCTTCCCTGCAGCTGTCAAACAGGGTTCAAATGACGACGCGCCCACCCTCGTCACAGCCCAAGCCCCGCCCACAGCATCTAGGCGAGGTCAGGACCATTTCCAATTTGGGGGCGGGGGCGAGGATCCGAGAAGCGCTGTCACAGCGGGAAACCCAGGTCAACCCCTGCCACGGATCAAGTGTTTTGACTGCCTACCTGCCATGAAGGTTTCTCGAAGAAAAAACGGGGCGAAGGAGGAGGGGGGCGGCCCTGACCACCTCACTGTGTTACCACTACCCCCACCCAAACATAAACAGGCAAAAAGACAGAGCAGTCGCTGACATGGTACGGTCCACCCTCTGTGAGGTGAGGAGGCGTCGCGAGGAGCCAGCCCGGCTCCCCTCCGTCGAGGCAGAAAGGCGCCAAAAGATGGCGGCGGGCGGCTGAGCGCCGACGACCTCCTGCAGCGCCTGCGCAGTGGGCACCATCGGCGCGAGCGGCCGCCGTTGGTGGCGCCTCGGCCTCGAGGGGCTGCGGCCCGGACCCGCCATTCCAGCCAGCGCGGGCGAATGGGCAGCCGCTGCCGCTTCTCCACCACATCCATACGAGTCCCCTCGCCCGGCGTAGCGCTGGCTGAGCCACAATGGCTGTGCCGCTGCGGGGCCAGCGGGCCGCGGCGCTCCTACATTTCCTCTGCTTCCTCTGGGCGGTTTTCGCCGTCAGCCAGAACGCGGGGTTTCCCAGGTCGGTCCGCAAGGAACCGGACGTCACCTACGGGGGCTCCTGGAAACACCTGACCTTCCTCAACCAGGTGGTGGTGGCGGCGGCTGCGAAAAGGGAACGAGGGAGAGCGGGAGGACGCCGCGCGTGCGCAGACGGAGCGCTCCTTGGCCGCACGTGAAGGGCGGCGCGCGCGGGAAGGTGGGGGAGGGGGAGAAAGAGAGTTGAAATAGGTTAGGGCGGGTGAACCCGCTGAGGTAAATTTAGTTTCTTTTGTGTGCCCCTTCCCCCCGTGAGTTTTATAGCAAAAAGTGATAATTAGTTATACATCACCCTAACTGGCATCAGTTACTCCTAAGTACGCTATGACTCGCATGCCCCCGTTTATTGTTGTTGTTATTTGTTGAGTCCCTGTCAGGGGAAAAGGCGAATATAAATAAATAGATAATGATGATTTCCCCCCAAAAAAGGACTCAGAGCAACTTTAACACATAAAATCTTGTTTGCGTTAAGATACAATGTTGGTGAGGGAAATATAAAGGCCTTTAGATAATAGATACTCTGAACCAACCAGTAATATGCTTCAAATTATTTTCCTTGGCTGAGTACACCTAATAAACATTTAAAGCGCAGCCAATGAATTCTGGGAACTGTAGTTTGCTAAGAGTGTTGGGAATTGTAGCTCTGTGAGGAGTAAGCTACAGTTCCCAGGATTCTTTTTTGAGGGGATGGGTGGAAGCAATGTGCTTTAAATGTATGGTGTGTTAAGAAACTAAACCAGAAAAGGAAAAAATATACATACTGAGCCCCATGCGTATTTCTAATAGCTTCTTTGTGATTTCATAGGTTCTACAGACAATCCTGTATCTGTTATGTGTCATATCTGATACTGTAGCTCTGTGCATGCCTTCATTAGAAAAAAGAGTATCATCACTGGTGGTGCCTCTCAGAGATTTCATCTTCTCTTCGTATGTGTTTCCTATTGGCTTAGTAAGTAACTACTGTTTCTATTATTGAAATACGTGTGTACTATAAAACAGCGCTCCTCATACCTGATGCATCCTGATGTTTGGAACTACTTCCATTATCCCTGCTGGCTAGGTCTGATGGGCGATGTTCTCCAGATTTCTAAAAGACTGTCACAAAGAGCCTGGCATGTCTAAATGAAACCAACAGCATTGATCATTCTTAAAATACAATAAGTAACTGTTGTTGTTGTTGTTGTGTTGTTTTCATTTAATTATCTTGCTCCATTCCAAGGGTGCTGAGTAGATTGTCACCTGGTATATTTAAAAAGGGCTGATTTCCCTCCAAATGGTTTGAATCTAAGATGAGTGTAGGGCTTTACAAATCCCATTCTTAAAACCTACCACATTATCATTTAAATCAGGAGAAACTTTGTTTTGAGAAGAAAAGCCCAGATAGTTCATTTTTAATAATGAAGCTAACAGACCTATAGAATAGTTAATGATAGTCTAGCACGAGCATTCATAGATGCCACTGGAGAAAGGCTAGTAGGTTCAAGACTTCCTCCAGGCGTCTAGTTCCCAGTTTGGTACCCCCTCACCATTGAGGCTGGGAGCCTCAATAGCACCCCTCTGGAGGCTTCACCTGGGGCAGAAAAACCGGGTAAAAAGAAGCAGTAGGGAAACCTAGTTTCAACAAGAATAGACTGTCCAAAGCTACTATTTGCATTTCAATGAAAGTCTGCACTGGCATCTCTGGCAACTTCAGAGAAGTTGGCAGGACTGCGTGGGAGAGAGAGTGTGTATAAGGGCTTGTCCACATGAGTTTACTGTTCTGTTTGCAACTGTTTGCCCATTTAATTTGCAAAGCATACATGTTACTCTCAGACGACACCAATCTTGATATGTTCCCCCTATAAATTTAGGTCTATCTGATAAGGAGATAATCCAGTAAATTGGGAAATTGGGCTTCAAGATGCTTTGCTTGGGGTCACAGACAATTTGTTTCTGTGTTTTAAGGTGGGTGCATCATTCATCACTTTCTGCTACTCCCCTTTTCACATCCACTGCTTCCTCAATGTTATTTATTTATTAAGAATTTGAACAACAGGCAGTAAAAGCAATCAATTCCATCACCATAATGCATTAATGAAAACTATGACAGCCATTCATATGACTGAATATTATTAAATTGTTATTGTTCATATATTATTGAAACATATATTTTCACAATTCTCTTGAGTCTTTGATGGGTTCATCCTCTCATCCTGTTTATTAATAAAATCAATAAAATCAGACCAAGTTTCTAAAAAAAAATAAAAATTGTTGTTGCCCTTGTGCCTGAACTTGACTACAGTGGTACCTCGGGTTACATACGCTTCAGGCTACAGACTCCGCTAACCCAGAAATAGTGCTTCAGGTTAAGAACTTTGCTTCAGGATAAGAACAGAAATCGTGCTCTGGCGGCACAGTGGCAGCAGGAGGTCCCATTAGCTAAAGTGGTGCTTCAGTTTAAGAAAAGTTTCAGGTTAAGTATGGACCTCCAGAATGAATTAAGTACTTAACCTGATGTACCACTGTAGTTAGTTTTTCTGACTAGTCAATATAATTATCCATGCTTCTAACAATAGGTAACAATAGATAATGAGTCCTTCCAGCATGATTGCACAACTAGCAAATGCACTGCTACAAACAAAAAAGCAAGCATTTGCTTATATGGAATTTCAATATTTTGTCTACTGAAGATTGTTGACTGTATTTTAATTTCTTTTCTAGCTGTGCTCACAACTATTTCCAGTATGCTACTGAATGTAGGGTTGTAGCCTTATCTGTCTGTGTATGTTTTCTTTTGCTCCCTTAAGATTGGCACATAACTAGAAAACTGTACATTAAACATTCTGCACTAGATATTGTACAGCTATTTGATAAGTGTGCTTTGAGAATTTACAGTTATGACTGTGCTGCTTGCTCCCCCCCCCCCCCACTTCCTGGTTGGGAAAAACTTAAAAGTTCACACCAAGCTAACTGCCTACAGGCCCTTTCAGTACTTAATTGACATAACAAAATAAACAAATTAGAAGGTGACAAACACAGGAGGGAGCGCCTGCTGGTATGAAGGGGAAAGTCTGAAGCTGTACCTCATATACAAATGCAAATACGTTTGGACTACTCCAGTCTAATTCAAATGGGGTGAGAGGGAAAGGGATTCATGGCTAAATGGTGCTCAAATGCGGACAAACACTTAAACTCACTACTTAGGTTTCCTTGCAGCTATTTATTTGCAAAACAAGAAAGCTTGAACCTTAATACAGAGTGTTTGATGCTAAGGTTTTTTATTATTTTTATCTGGAGAAATAAAAGAAAGCTATATGCACAATAATCAGGTTTTATTCACTGTAATAAGTGAGCTGCGGGAAGAAAGAAGGGGAAAAGTTAACAGATTTTTTGATTTGGAAAAACATTAACTGTCTATTGTTACTATTTGTCTGAGGATACAAGTGTTAATTGTCAAATGTTTTAATGACAGTTTGTACCTGTTGCTTTCTGGAGCCTTTACGTATATGACAGAGAACTAGTATATCCTTTACAGCTGGATGACGTTAATCCAATTTGGCTTAATCATACTATGGTAAGTGTACACCATTTGTTTTTCAGGTATCTCTTTTGCTGTGTTCAGTTCATTTATTGTTTATCTGATCGTAATATTTTGCAGAACTTAGGTATAAGGGTCAGTTCAAATGTAATAGGTAAAATGATTGTTTAACATTGTGTGCATAAGCTGCAGTGAACCTTTGGATCATGTGTTCCCATTTCCTCTTCTAGAGCATGCCAAGGATGAGATCAGAAGCACATTCTTCTAGGATTAAATTAAATGGACCACCCTGTTATGTCCAAACTACCGTGGGGCACACAGCAAGAACCCAGCCACTGAATCCTGTGGAATCTCTGCACACAGGAATTTGAATCCCCTTATACCACTATGCAAACATATCCCTCATACATTATTTGGACTCTACAGCAAAGGGAAGGAAGGAGAGGGCATGTAGCACATCATTCAGATAGCCCCATTTAAGATGTATAGCTACTTTGTTGTTGTTTAGTTGTTTAGTCGTGTCCGACTCTTCCTGACCCCATGGACCAGAGCGCGCCAGGCACTCCTGTCTTCCACTGCCTCCCACAGTTTGGTCAGACTCATGTTTGTAGCTTGGAGAACACTGTCCAACCATCTCGTCCTCTGTCGTCCCCTTCTCCTTGTGCCCTCAATCTTTCCCAACATCAGGGTCTTTTCCAGGGAGTCTTCTCTTCTCATGAGGTGGCCAAAGTATTGGAGCCTCAGCTTCACGATCTGTCCTTCCAGTGAGCACTCAGGGCTAATTTCCTTAAGAATGGATGCGTTTGATCTTCTTGCAGTCCATGGGACTCTCAAGAGTCTCCTCCAGCACCATAATTCAAAAGCATCAATTCTTCAGCGATCAGCCTTCTTTATGGTCCAGCTCTTATTTCCATACATCACTACTGGGAAAACCATGGCTTTAACTATACGGACCTTTGTTGGCAAGGTGATGTCTCTGCTTTTTAAGATGCTGTCTAGGTTTGCCATCGCCTTTCTCCCAAGGAGCAGGTGTCTTTTAATTTCGTGACTGCTGTCACCATCTTATTCCCACCATAAACAGACGACATCATCCATTCACCCTTGCTCCACTGCTAGCTGCTTCATATAACCACTGAGCCTCTTGGACTTGCCGATCGGAAGGTCGGTGGTTCGAATCCCCACAATAGAGTGAGCTTCTGTTGGTCTGTCCCAACTCCTGCCGACCTAGCAGTTCGAAAGCACGCCAGTGCAAGTAAATAAATAGGTACTGCTGTGGCAGAAAGGTAAACAGTGTTTCCATGTGCTCTGGTTTCCATCACGGTGTTCCGTTGCAGCAGAAGCGGTTTATTCATGCTGGCCACATGACCCGGAAAACAGTCTACTGACAAACACCGGCTCCCTCGGCCTGAAAGCGAGATGAGCAGCGCAACCTCATTGTCGCCTTTGACTGGACTTATCTGTCCAGGGGTCCTTTACCTTTTACCTTTTATACCATGACAGCCCTTGTCTCACTTGTGCAGGCTGAGACTACTCCCTGACATTCCCCAGAGCCTGCATGAAAAGGGAGTGGTGGAGGGGTCACAACCCCCACCCACTCCACCAGTCAAAGCGAGATTGAACTATGGTGTGGGAAAATGTTATTTTATATGCTAACTCCAAACAGCAAAGTCAAAGCCTCTGTTGGACATTCTCAGGGCTAGAATAGGCTCTGAAAGCAAAAACACACATGTATGTGGTTGACAACCAGTCACCCCAACAGAACTCCTGGGCCTTTGAAAGAGACAGCAGAATAATAGGTGTAGCAGGTCATAACAGTGGCGGATTTAGGGCAGTGCAGATGGTTCTGCTACTGAGCTGAGGGGACTAATAATAAGGTCTAACCCATATCTATACATGTACATATTCAAAGTTGCGGGGGCACCAAATTTTATCCTCAGGGTGTGATATTACGAGTGATTGCCAAAGAAGAAGACTTAGCTTGAGGAAACTGAGCTAAGGAACTGCTTGTGTCAGGGAGGAAACCACTGTGGCAAAGAATTAATAAATTTCCCAAGATGGATCAGACAGCCATAGAAAATGATGCCAGTAATTGCCAGCTGATTGAAAATGCTCTCATCTGCTACTATTTTGTAACTGCTGCTACCCCTGCATATGCCAGTGGACCTCAGTCATTTTCAACCATCCTAAGTGGGCCCTACAGGTAGTAAATTTGAGAACCGCTAAGCTAGACTATAAAAATATGTATTTGGAATAAAACATGGAACAGAAGTTCAAAAAGCTGTAATTTAATACAACTATTGAAAACAATACAACAAACAATAAAACTTTGTTTTGATTTGCCATATGTTTCCAGCACTTATATTTGTGTGTGTTTGTGTTTTATTTTTTAGCATACCACCATCCTCCCACTGCTTTTCATAGAATTGTTCATTTGTGATCATAAGTATCCCCGTAGATGTAGAGGAATTTTGGGACTTTGCGCCTTTGCAGTTGTATACCTCTCATGGTAGGTATCAAGTATCTTTTTCAAACACACTTCAAATATAAAGCATTTTTAATCATTTTCGTTGGATTGTTCCTTTTATATTAGCAAATCCTTTTTTAAAATAAATTTTAAAAAGCATATTGTGCATGCTGCCTATTGGAATCCGTGTGTTTAATGGCTTCTTTAAAATAACTACTTTAATATATTTATCATGTTGATCTCAAGATACTTTAAACGTACAACATCATTTTATCATAAATTGTCTGATAAACTCATCTAGTATAAAACTATATGAAAATGCTTATATTCAATATTCTATTTGTTTCATATAATTAATAACATTAGACCAAATTGTTATTGGTTTCGTCTCCTTTCTCTTAAACATACCATTTTAACAAGTTTAAAGGTCATGGCAGTGTTGGTATCTTATTAAGCAACTCTTGTTTCGTTGATATTTTATGAATGTGCCATTTAGCAGCTATTAACATTTTTGCTGTTATCAAATTTCTCAATAAATTATGATGATCTGATCACACATCATTTTCAAAATAGCCTAAAAGAATTTGTAATTGATGCAATGTAATTATACAGTGAAACCTCTGTTTTCGAGCATCTTGGAAGTCGAACATTTTGGCTTTCGAACGCCAAAAACCCAGAAGTAACTGCTTTGGTTTTCAAACAATTTTCGGAAGTCGAACGTGCCATTTTGAGTTTCCCTATTGTTTTGAGGCTTCTGCTTTCAGTTTTAGAACATTTTGGAAGTCGAACGGTCTTCTGGAACAGATTACATTTGAAAACCGAGGTTCCACTGTATTACATTTCTAACAATTTTTGGCTTCTTTGAACTAATTTTCTGTAATTCGTTGGAATGTTTATGCAGCCATAAAATATTGGAAGTAAATATTACACTGCTAATGCCTATTGCTCCATTACCATTTCTGTAATTACCGTAAGCATAGTCCTATTATCATTACTTTGATCCATTTATGCAAGACCTTAAAATACCATTTCTGTGGTAGCAGGCACAGATTAATTCTAGTGTAGCCATTTAGTTATTATTTTTGACTAGGTAAATTAATTTATCATGAGCAGCGCACAGGCAAATAGCTTTTTTAGTCTTAAATTTTGACAACAGATGCCACATGTAGCACATGTAGCTGGTGTAAATACACAGTTCAGAAACTGCATATCATTCCTTTAGGTTCCTAGGAATAGAAGCTTGAGGGCTCAATAAAGCTGCCCTTCAGTGCCCGTTACATTAGATTCCTTAGCATGCAGTTGTTGGAGCTCTGAAGAGGAAGCTATATACCGTATTTTTCGCTCTATAGGACGTACCGGACCACAATACGCACCTAGTTTTTAGAGGGGGAAATCAAGAAAAAAATATTGGATGGATCCCGCTTGCTGCTTTGGCTTCCTCTTTAGCCTTGCACAGCCTCTCCAGCCGGGAGAGGCTGCGCAAGGCTAAAGAAGTCAAGGCAGCGAGCACTATCCATTTTCTACGAGGAGGGAGAAGGGACTGACTGGCCGTGTCAGTCCCTTCTCCCTCCTGGGGAAAAGCCCGCAAGAGCTGCGTGGAGCTTGTGTGCGGTTCTTGGGGGCTTTTCCTGCCTGCCTCCCCCTGCATTTGCTCCATAAGACACACACACATTTTCCCTTACTTTTTAGGAGGGAAAAGGTGTGTCTTATGGAGCGAAAAATACGGTACTTGTTGCTGTCTGGTGTTTTTATGGTTCTGTGGTTGGTATGCTGATAGAGATTATAGCCATAGCTACCTCAAACCAACCTGCAAACCCATTTTTAACCATGTCAAGCATTAATTATAAACCAACTATACATGGTGGGAAGCATTACATTAGATTTCACATGCTTTATACCTCTTCTAGATGCTAAAAAGTCTTCACAAATACTTACCAAGCCCCATTTCACTCAGAAATTTCTGTTGAATAATCTTTATTTTTTAATGAAGAAAAATTAGTTGTTTTGGGAAATGAGATGATCTAGCAAAAGTAAAAGGAGATGATCTAGCAAAAATAAAATACTCATAGGTCATATGGTCCTCCATTTAAATCAATATTGCTTTCAAGTATGAATTGTACTTCTATGTTTTTAAGAAAATCCAAATTTATGCACTTAACTTACAGTTTTATATTTGAAATTATCAGCAAATATAGAATAGTTTTTCCATGCAACTTCAGAAATCAACTATCTACCTATAAAATTTATGGCTATTTGTGACTCTGTCTCCCCTTGTTTCTAGGATAATGTGGGTAAACCATGCAAGTGGGATTTGGGCATATCCAGTTTTAGGAGTGCTCAGTCCATTAGGACGGGCAATATTTATCTCCATATCTTTTCTTATAATGGTAATCTTCTACTTCGTTGGGGAGCAACTAACAAAACGCTTGTGGGGTAAGTAGGATTTTTTTGTTTGTATTTTCAGTGCTGTAGCTGGCACAAGGAATGGACTTTCCCAATATTCAATGCATAAGTGAGGAGAAGAGTCATTTAAGTTGGTTCCCCAAGAAAGACTGAAGTCATAAAGTCACTTAACCTGGGAGTAATTTCAATGTATTCAATGAACTTTTGAGATGACTTGTCTGAGACTGAGCTGTGAATGTGTTCAGTCAGATGCAAGTTCTGTTTCACTTATAAAAAGACTATAGTGATAAATACAATACCTCCTGGGTGCACTTCTGTGCACTGAAGGGATTCCCACAGGCATTTTTCTGAGCCATCCCTTTCACCCCAAAGATTCTTGGCCAACCACTCTGCCACTGTACTAAATGCTTTGCAGCAGCTTGACCATTTCAGACCTCATGAGGTGCTCCCACAGTACACATAGTTATCTAGAAGCCCGGCACACAAGCCTCTTCCACAGTCATCTGAAATACTCTGTGTACTGAGGACTTGGAGAGAAGTGTGTCACTACATATCTGCATGTGAGGTCCAGCTGGAACTCACATTAACATGAATAGCACAGCATCAGCAGTTACAAGTGGGGGAAGCAGAGAACCCAGAAGAGCATAGGTTGTCAGTTAGTGGGTCAGGACGCACTGCCTGGTCTTAGCCTGAGTTGGGTCACAACATCATCACTACCACCATACAAATATATGGTACAAAAATTAAGAAATGGTTCCCTAAATTCATGTTAAAGGAAGTGGGTTCCAGGTCTGGAAACACGGAACACTACTCCAGGGGAGCATTTGTGGGAGGGCTCTACATTCCCATATGTAGGAAAATATTCTAAAGTTTAGTGTTCTTTTCTTTCCCTTCCAGCAAAACGTAAAAGGAAGTGCACATAGAGAAGAACCTGGGAAAAGTATAAGGTCATTAAAAGTGCAAACTCACTTATGGAACAGAGTGAAACTTTAATCAAGATAAAAGCATTCGTAACAACCTCTTCTTAAAGATTAAGTATACTGAAAATGGACTTTTCTCAGACACGTAATATATAGTGCCATCAAAATAGAAAGTGGGGAAATGTACCAAATCAGATTAACAGTGCTTTAAACAAAATTACTAATTTTTGTATAGGAAAATTGGGTATATATAAGTGAATTACATACATATTTAATACGTGCATTATACCTGGTACCTTAAGGCAGTAGGTGTTCCCTTTTGTGTTTGTCCCTATCTTGTAATTGATTGATTTTGATAGGCCAATTAACTACAGACAGAGCATATTCACAGATAGTTGCACGTGTTATTTATTTTATTTATTTATTTATTTATTTATTTATTTTAAATGCCCACCCAAGAAGTGTACACAGTCAGGCAATTGTAAATATTCTTGTGCAATTTTCTGGTTATTTGCAACTCTAGGAGATCAAAAGAAATATATAGAAGCTCTTGGTGCACCCTTAATAGCATACTGGAAGAGAAATGGAAGCAAGAGTGCACCAAAAGTAGTTACGAGAATAAGGGTGGGGGGAGAGAAAGTAGTGGGCATAGAAAGGGAAGGAGTAGAAAGTGGCAATTGATCCAGTCACCTCAAAACACTGAAACAAATTATCTGCGACATCTGGTGCACCAGTGTGGAATCTGATTTCCCACTATTGCATTATCCCCATATTGGGTAAACCCACTTTTACAGGGGGAAAGCATTGAGATTTGTGTTGTTTGACTGTGGACTGTGCAAATTAAATTGGAGCGCAAACAGCTGCAAACACACAGTAGACTACGGTTACCAGACGTCCCCGGATTCACTAGTCTGTCCGTGGACAAAATCTGTCCCCAGAATGTCCCCAGATTTTAATTAATGTCCCCTGATTTATGCCTGGGGACTTCCACCGAGGCAACATGCTGGGTGCCATGGCAGTGAGCAGCACCGGAGGTCCCGGCCATGTCAAAGTTCCAGCCAGCCAATCTGCTGGTTGGGGGGAAGGCTATTTAAACTAAGGCGTGAGCCAGAGAGCTTCCTTCTAGCTCGCTTCCTTGATCAATGCTCACCCTGAAATTGCATGGAGTCGCCCGCAGCAGAAGAGCCCAAGGTGCTCTTCTGCTGCAGGCTCTGCACCCCCGAGTTGGGGGGCGGGCGAGTGAGGCAGTGAAGAACAGGAGAAGCGTAGAAAACAGTTGTGCTGCGTTGAGAGAGAGAGAGAGAGCCTTGTGTATGTGTTTTAATGTGTGTTTTCCCAAGCCCAGCGAGTCCCTTTACTCAGCACCACCTCTTTTGGGGGGCGTTTGCGTGTTTGTAGATGGGCTTCTCCACCTGCCTTGTGTCAAGGTGCACGCCTGACAACTTTGGGGTTCCCCCCCTAAAAAAGGTGAAGAACTCTGGGCAACCCTTTCCTAAAATAATAAAGCATGAAATTTAAAAAGTATCCCCGGATTCCTTGAAAAAAATCTGGTAACCATACAGTAGAGTCCAATTTGGACAAGCCCTTAGTTAAAAGGTTAAAATAAATAACGGTTCTATACTGTGCTTAGTAGGGTTAATGAAGGTGAGTGGGTCTTTATATGTGTTGCATTTTAATACATTTTGACATGTTCTCTTCCTTTCCCCAAGCCTGTGAGCAAGACCCAAATACAAATTCACATAAATAATCTTGGTGAATATGAACTACAATCCTAAATGTTCCTAAAATACAATCCTAAACGTTCCCATAAATGTGTCAGTCTTAATCAATCACGAATCTGTATAGGACTAAGGATGCAATTTACCTCTCTTTAAATAATTATAGTTATCCACAAGTGGCTGTCAGGGTTGTGGCATGTAACAAGATCCAGTTGAATAATCAAGTCTTTTCTTTCTGATGAAGGCCAGGCAACCTTTCCCTTAGAACTAATCCAGAATGAGACTTTTGAATATTTAATTTCAACAAATATCCCTTTCATCTCAGGTCTTGTGAACTAAAATATTGGATGTGAATATGCTGAGTCGTGTAAGAGGAAAGGTCTGTCAGTGGCTGCTAGGCATTGTGGCTGTGCTCTTCACGGCTGGAAGTAGTGTTCTTAATAGCCATTGCTGAAAACCACAGGAGGGAGAGTGCTCTTGTATTTGGGTCCTGCTTGTGGGTTTCCCACAGGCATCTGGCTCGCCACTGTGAGAACAGGATACTAGACTAGATGCACCATTGGCCTGATCCAGCAGGCTTTTCTTACTTTCTTTGCATGACTTAAATCTTTTGGACATTGTTTTTAAATGTTTTCAAGCATAGTGTCCAGAATGTACAAAGCAGGTGGAACAAACTAATTAAAGACCTACTTGCAGTGGTGGATTTAACTTGTTAATTCAGGGCAGCGTACAGGCATAGCCAGCATTTGTTTGATGGTGCACCATTTCCAGGCCTTTCAGATTATATTTCTCATGGTAAAATCTTGCTGTGTTTTTCCCCAGCGGTAATAAAAATCATCTAGCCAAATGTAGCCTATAAATCACTAAGAGCATGCAGTAGGCTGAATACTCCTAGAACTTCTATTTTGTGGTTACATATCTGAAATGCTTCAGAACTCCTGCTGAACCTGCTGCCTCCTGAGATTTGGACTAAAGGGCCCAAAGAACTTTTAGTTCCATCTAATTAAATAAGACATCACATCATACAAAGCTTTGGTTAATATATATTATCTGTCAGAAACTCTGACCTTATATTAAGAACTCAAATTTCAAAAGTCAAATGTTAGTGTTCATTTTATAATCATTTTTTTATTTAAGATTTTCTTGATTTACAAAAGTGTGCGCAATATCTCTCGTATATATTTTTTTCATGTAACATTTTTACAAATCAGTTTCATTTGTTGGGAAGAAAAGGGGGAAAGAGGTGGAGGGGAGGGAAAGATGGGTGGGGGTGGGGTCGGGTGGCGATGTTTCTATTTTACTTACTATGTGTAGGGTTTAGTGTCAGCGTTGCTTGTGTAGGTTCTTTGCTGTTCACTTGTGTTCCTTTGGTGATGAGAGAGGTTGGGGTTGTTCATTTGTGGTTGGCTGTGGTGGTCTTTGTTTTCATGTGTGAGTGGGGTGGGTGGGTGTTTTGGATCAGGTTTTTATAATGATTTTATAATCATTAGAAGATTGAAAATAAAGTATTGATGACAGCCTTGCATGCCATTGGCCTTTTTTCTCCTTGGGTGCATTTCCAGGTGGGTTCTGCCCACATGGAAGACCTACTTGGTCTGAACTGCCAACTCATATGGATGTATGTAATCATGCACTTGGGCGTAGCCAGGATTTTTGTTGGGGGAGGCAGGACTTTTGTTGGGGGGGCAGAACTGATTTGATTGGTCAGTTACGTTATTTCTATGGTGTCACTAGATCCAGGGGGGGCAACTGCCCCCCTCGGCTATGCCCATGATCAGACACACACATTCTCTCTCTCCCCTCTTTCTGACTCTTTCTTCATCCTCACTGTACTCAAACTTCTCCCTTTTTCATTCCTCAGCTGCCTTAGGTGACAGAGATGTGTAGCCCTAAAATATTCTCTTGTATGAAGGTACTGTATCCAAACGTCTGCCATTGTTTAAAACTGCCATTTTCTTCTCCATCCCTTCTTTACCCAAACTTCCATTGTTTTAAGCCACCATGTTTCCTCTCTGTGTCCCTCCTTTCTCATTCCCATGCCATAGTCAACACTGTTGTTCAACCTGCCTTCTCTTTTGCTTTCCTACCCCCACCTTGACTTCATGCAAACCTAGGATAATGGCACTGCACATCTTCCAAAGGGGTTGCACAATAATAGCCTTACATTTTATTTATTGGAAGAAGGGGAGGGTATATGTGCGTGTGACAGCAACAACAGCAGCTTGAAGAAATGTTGCCACTCTAAAAGCAACCTTGGCACAACCTTTGGTGGAAGAAGCAATTCACACAAATGCACTCCCTCAGCAAGGAGTCTGACTTCATAGCCCTGTATGAGATGACTGTGTGGGAATTACCTGCCTGGCCCCATAGTAAAAACTTTTAAATTTCATTGATTTCAAAGGGGGGAAAGTGCTCACATCTCTTCTCCTTCAACCAGCTGGACTTAAAAGAGCTTAGTTTGGGTCTGGATCGCACCCACTATTTCATTAAATTAACTAAAAGAAAGAAAATCATACATTATTTTCAGGTAACATTTCACAGAAAAATTTACAGTGTAGTATTCTCAAATGAGCAAATGAATCTCATTTTAACACCTTATTCAGATCAAAGCCACAGATTTAACACCCTGACCATTGGGACATTCTACATTCAACCCTGTTAGAATGCATGGCAGTTTCAGCTCAGCATCAGGTTTTTGACATCTTGCTAATTGTTTTACGTTGTTGTCAATGACAGGCTTACCATGAAGCATTGTGAAGTACTTGGTGCAGGCAGCTGGTTCTCATTTTCTTGCCTCCATTGTCCTCCATCTCTGAATCGTGGTGTTTTGTTTTAAATGAATTCCAGTCCTGAGCAGTCATTTTGCATCAGGTATAAAAATGTTAAGTCCAGCAGTGATTCTTGGTACAGTATTCTTCATATTAAGTATACATTACTGTTGCATGAATATTTAAGATTAATCTATCAGAAAAATGATTATAAGCACAAGGATATCCATTGTTAGAATCCAAAATGTTTTCATAAACTACATGAGTTTTGGAAGGGATATTATGACTCATTCCTGAGAGAATGAATCATTAAGAGAATGTTCCACAGCAAATATGTTGCCCTGTAACTATCAGTTAGAAATCTTTCTTCATTACAACATTCTACCATTTATCCATATATTCTTCAGCCAGGAAGGGGGAATCATTTTCCTTTAAGTGAAATCTTGTGTGATCTAAACAGGGTATGTGGAGAGAGCTAGCATGTTGAGGACATAACTACAGGTGTCAATTTTGAATT